TTTTTTCAAGTACGAGGCCCCGGGGGCTTATATTCGGAGAGGCGATTTAACAGAGGGTTTTTTGCGTTTTGAGTTTGGGGGCTTATTTTCGGAATTTTACGGTAACTGACACACACCTGATAGACCCTTATAAATTATTTACCAGTGTGTGTTGCTGCTAAAGCGCATTGGTGGATTAACAGCAGAACACCCTGCATACATTGAGCCATCTTGGTGGTCAGCAGGCGCCAAGTTTGGCCGCTGATAAGGCAAGGCAGGGGGACTGGGAAGTAGTAGAACTGGAGATGCTGCCATCACACGCTCGGGCCGACCTCCCTCTGCCTTCTTTATTTCTTTGCGCCATTTAAAACGCCTGTTCTTGAACCAGGTCTGTGAAAGCATTAACCGGATGTCAAAATAAGTCAAAAAAATAAAAAGGTGGCCTTTCTCCGTTTCCTATTGGCTTTTGTTCATACCCAGCTATATCGTTGACCAATTCTGGATGACTTTTGCGATATCAGATAAAATGACATCAATAGTATAGACTATCGCCACAAAAATGGGCTGCAATCGAGAAGTCCTGGGACAAGGTTGCATTAGCTTAAAGTGGCGAAACATTTTACTTGTTTTGCGACAACGAAATAGCCAAACTTCTGCCTAATACCAGAGCAAGAACAGGAAGACTGCAACTCAACGGACGATAACTGACATGTGAAGAATATCTTCAAGGCTTCTAGAAATGTTAAAATAGTTATATCCAGCATTTGCAGAGGGACAGGCAAATGAAGCTGGGAAACTGTCCACCTACCCCTCCCCTAAGCCAACATTTTGCACTAAGTGAGAAGTAAGGGTTAATTTTGGCTTAGGGGAGGGGTAGGTGTGCAGTTTCCCAGAAACGCACAATGATAACTGTGAAAGCTCGTTGAAATAAGGCCTTTAAATGTGCTAACACTAAGATATGATAAATTGTTTAGGTGCTCATTAACACTTGCAATACTCACCTGTACAATAGCCGGAGACAATCCAAGTTTGAAGGCCAAAGCATCTCGTTCTTCACTAGTCAAGTACAAAGAGGAGAGAAAAGAATTCTCCAATGCAACTTTTTGGTAGATAGAAAACTGGGTGCGAGAAATCTTTCCCTTTCGTCCAGCTACATTACTTGTGTTGACTACCTCAGACTGTAACTGGTATTCTGGAATGAAGTACAATATTTTGAAATTTAACAGGGTAAAGTTAGATGGCTCCGTCGAGAGGTTGGATTACACTGTATTTTGTAGCATTTGCAAGCTATTCAACCACAGATTTTTGGTCTGATTTGTCAATGTGGGGTATATAACCAAATTTTAAAGTAGGTTTTGGAACGCCAAATTTCACAGAGCTGTCTGTGAATAAAGAAATTGCCATAATAACTGATGTAAAGACAAACTGATTGATCCATAGGTTTTCCTCCCGGAAAAATGCTAGAGAATGCAAAAAGAACAACAAAGCAACAACAAAAGCACCCAAACATTGTTGAAAGTATAACAAAATGGGCTGCGAAGACTGGACCTGAAAAGAGCAGCAGAAACTGACTTTGCCCGGTGATAAACGAAAGTCCACAAAAGTGTACTTGTGTACGTTGGGACACTACTCACGCATGGATGTAAAGGTCGTCCCTTACATTTGCATTTTACGTCGACCTTGTGAGAGTAATGTTTATTCAGTTAGTGATATACTGGTAAGCGACAAAATATCCAATTCATTCCTGCCAACAATAGTCGAACCTTAGGCTTGGATAAATGGAACAGCATCGCAATAAGAATTTTCCCATCCCCACAGATTGTTTCAAACCTTGTTGGTTTGATTTGATGGTTTCACATCTTATTTGTTCCTTGATAACAGCTCAGTTTTGCAGTAAAGTATACGATAGCTGTTTTAGCCGCCTGCCAGTTCTGAACAGTGGTAAGCTCGTCAAGGTTACGAGAAGAACGTTAAAGCCAAGCCCGCGAAGTAACTCTTGCCGAACCATTTCCGAAAACACTAGAATTCTCTCTAGCCAATAAGAAGCAGGGATAACAAATGATTCTGGAACAGGTTTGGTAAGAGTAACTGCCTAAAAGCTCTAGTTACTTTTGTTTGACTGTAATGAATTTTAAATGAATATAATAATCTGCAGTGAACTGTCCCAGGCCGGTTTTTGTGAAAAAAAAAAAAATAAAAAAATAAAACCATTGGTAATGTAATTAGTATAATTAGGAAAAACAACTTTGTTTTTCTTGGTAAACATTATCCCTGCTAATGTTGACAAACTCGAAATGGAAATAAAAAGATTTTACAAGGAAGAAAGTGAGGAACAAACAAAGAAAACAAGATAAATATTTTGATTTGTTCTTGCTACGGGTTACCCAAGGCGAAAATGTTTTGGAAAGTGAACGCGATTTCCCATATATATGGTGATAGCATTATCGTTATACTCAGTCGCTTTGCCGTTTCTCCGGGAAATGAGGAGGTCTATCCGTACATATAAGTACAAGAACGGGTAAATTACCCGTACACGTTCGGGGAAACGGTGTATTTTAAAGTCTTAATTACTAAATTAATACTATTATTTTTTTAGATTATCGATTATCCTTTTTGGTGGTACAAAGCGCCGTCGCTAGAGGCACGTTATGTCATCCGCTGAGACAAACCTAGAAAGGGAATGTTTTTTGTATTTTCAGTGTGGAGGTTCTGAGATGATTTTCGTTTTCAAATCAATTTAAGAATTTTGATGGTATATTCATGGTGAGAAGAAATAGCAAATAAATTAGAAGCGACATCTATCAAATTGTTCGCTTAGAAAGGTGGATAACGCTACCTATTTGATGAATAGGTATTTATCCGGTAAATAGCGATCTTTTGAATAACCAGCGCGGGACCTGGGGCCTGAAGAAAAAGTCAACGAATGCCTTTACACTTTTCATCCTGTCTCTTGGAAAACGACACTGAAAAACCTGAGTAGAAATTGTTGGATCTCTGTTTAATGGCTAGGTTTTAGGATATTTGAAATGAGCGATGTAAGAAGAAACAAGGCGCAGAGCAGTTTATGTTTGTTGTTTCAACATTTCTTTCCTTGATATTTTTTTAAGTGGAGAATTCTAGGCAGTTTAGCGGAGCCAGACTGATTCTCTGATCCTGTTTATTGCAAACTACTTTTGGCCGAAAATTCAAAATCTGCTTTCTGTTCAGTTAAGGGAGTAAAATAAAAAAGTGTATTCGTTATTCCCCTAACTGCATAGACAACCTTGCTACATTGATACTTTTAAAATCCCAGCCGTACAGTAATCCTTGAAGCTATTTCTCTGTTCAACAAATGTTCGTCGCATAAATCTACCTGGAAACCGGTAAGGCCCTTTTTGTTTTGCACGTTGGCTCTCGACACGTAAAACAGAAATCACTGATTAACCTCGATGACAGCATGCTGTATGTGAAGATATCGATAAACCAAATTAAGAGAAATATTCAGATGGCCTACTAGTTACCCAAGAATGTCAAAATAAAAGCTGGTAAAATATGGTAACAGAAAAAGTCACACAGATGTGATGAGTCTCTCACCTTCATGCCGCGAACTACGTGGAAAGCATTCCTTCATGGATTGTACATGATTTGGAGTTGAAAACTGCTCACACGGATAAACAAATTTTTCGTAATTATTGCCGGCCATTCTGTGTGTAGTTCCTCTGCTAGATCTCTCAGCAGCTAGAGTGTTTTTCTCTTCTGGTCGTTGGGCATTTTTTGTTAACTTGGTGAAATCTCTGCCCTTATTGGTTACTTTTCGACTCTGACGTAATGAAATTAAGAATGTTTGTTTTCCTGCATCATTGTCGCTTCACTATGTTGTTAAAATTAAGGCGAATTATTTTAATTGTTAGAATCACTATGAGATAATAAATTCCCTTGACCACGACCTCTCGCTCACTTTGTATGGCCAGAAATATTTTCAATCGCCAAGTCATTCACTCCGTTAAATTTTTAGTTAAGCTTCTGACGTGTGTACCGTGGCGGAAAATTAAAGGAAGAAAGCCACAATTTATTTGTTCGTCGCGTTCAGCTACAAACTACCAATCATGTGTAATCGGTCAAACATCAAAAAAGGCAACCGATACATAATGCGTCATATGACAGAAGAGAGTATGAATAACAACCAAGCATCTGAAATCGCTTACAAATCAAAGAAAGATGAATTGAAAAGTCTATTATCTGGTAAGTTATGTTATTCTAACAGTGAAAGGTTTGAACCGGCCACGAGTCATTTTGTGAGTGTAGTCCCGAGGCAGAGGCCTTCAACTCTGAGGGTGACTACCACACAGGTTGTCGAAAGTTCAGTCACTATAAACAATAGTCCTATTCAGGACTACGTTCACCCGAACCTACTTGTATTCTCACAGCCAGTAAGAACAAACGTTGAGGCCTGTATCTCTTTGTAATAGATAACTGATCAATGACAAAGAAAAGGGTCGGTATACAAAAAAAATATGCCTTTTCTAACCTGGGGTAATTGTCTTTGTCACCGTTCAGCGACAGTTTCCAACGATTCATCGTTTTTAAATTAAGAAATATCTTTACAGTAGAAAATCTTGTCCCTAGAGAGCTCCATGCACATGTAGTAATAGAATTTTCTTGTACTTGCTGTTGCGCTATTACATTGAAAAAAAGGTCTCGACATTTTTTCAACACGCGTCCGTGAGCATCTCCTTCCAACAAGTCGGCTTTCCCCCTTTCAAACGTGTACAGAGTTTGGGACATTGCGTTTTATCCTGTTCTGCTGCCCAATACTTTGAAATTATATGGACTCTGCCTCCACGAAATTTCAGCTTGAAATTTCAGGAAGTTATGCACATCTCTTCGGAAAAGACCTAATCTTACTGGAGTCAGTCTTTATATGTTAACTTAACACTTACCCTTCAAGCTTTTTTTATACGATCTTTCTTTGTTACTGACTTTTACTTGTAATCATATTGTATGATTTATACATCTCTCGGTTTTTCATAAATTTTACAATTTAAAAAATTATTTTGTTACTGAGAAAGATGTGGGACTCCTCAACACATGTTTTACAAATTACAATATAACGTGATCTCGTAATTTTTAATTTAACCGGTAAATTTTGTTACATCTGTTTCATTTGTTTGGTCATTTACGTTTCCTTCCCCTTTCAAAAGCTTGTTGAGTTAACTTCACAATAACCCCCCCCCCCAATTATTTTTGGTTTGCAGTCATGTGACAAGGCAGCCAAGTTGGTGGTCTATGCAATAGGATTTTTTCTTGAAAATGGGGTTTAGTTCCCAGAGGAGAAAAATGCTTTTGTTCTTCACCACTAACATGGTCGCCATGACGTCACCTGCAAACCAGCCATTGCGACCACTAAAGGATTATGAAAATATGGTGGTAGCAAGAAGGTTTTCAAACGAAAAGAGACAAAAGAATATGGCTGTTTCAACTGAGTACTGGGGAAGCGGGGTGTAGAGGGTTTCCCAGTGTATTTCTATTTCTTTCTCCCTGTTCTTCTGTCAGCTTTGCAGCCGAACCATGCCTGCGTTGCAGCCGGCCCTAGTATTACCTTATACTAGACCATTATACAGAAGGTTTAGAGTGTCTGCGACGCAGGGCAAAGCCGAACCCTCCTACGAACATCTTGTTTTACCATGCTCTTCGCCGGCAGCCAGTTTACCGGTTAAGATTCCAAGGTCACTTTTTCTGTATATAGCGAAAACTGATTTCTGTTTTTCTTTACAAAAAAGGGCGGATAAACAGTTACATGTAAACTGGGCTAAGTTACATTATACATCATGACCTGCTATAGGTACTGTAATCTCACACGTGAGTTTATCGATGACGTAATTTCGGTAATTTCCTTCTATTATTTTATCGATGTCTTTTTGTGTATACAACAAAAAGAACGTTACACGGTGGCTTGAAGATATGAATTTTATTTTCGAGTGGCACATACTGACATCCTCAAGTCCATGGTGTTTCGGGCGAGAAAAATGTCTATACAAAAGATCATCCTTGTTTCTACCCTCAAAAGAAAGCCTTGAATGCGCTCTAAAACGGGCCCTACGATTGTTAAACCTAAGCCTAAATTTTGTTGTTGTTGACCCAACGTACTGCGCATGACAAAGACATTTCGAAGACCCAAGAGCCTGGGGGACTACCTAGTACACGCTCAACTTAGGCCGTCAACGCGTCTGGAGCGGAGCTCGAAGGGGACAGTGGTGTGTGGTAAGAGACGATGCCACGTCTGTAAGTACCTGGAACCGAGAGAAAGGTTTATCTCTTACAGAACTGGAAAGCGGTATACAATTAACTACGAACTGGACTGTAATAGTAGTAATGTTATCTACTTGTTGTCCTGTAAGGTTTGTCATGCGCAGTACGTTGGGTCAATAACAACAAAATTTAGGGTTAGGTTTAACAATCATAAGGCCCGTTTTAGAGCGCATTCATTGCTTTCTTTTGAGGGTAGAAACAAGGATGATCTTTTATATAGACATTTTTCTTGCCCGGGACACCATGGTCTTGAGGATGTCAGTATACAGTTAATTGACAGAGTGTCCGGGAAAGAATCAGCTCTCCTGGATAAAGAAGGCCAGTGGGCCAATAGGTTGAACTGTATTCAGCCTCAGGGCTTGAATATAAGTGATTTTTTTTACAGCCAGAATAGGGCGACTAGGTCTTGCGTCCGGTAAGAGCGCGCGCGTGTTTATCTTCCTTTGTAGCGCGTGCAAGTTCTCAAATTTGTTTGTTATTATGTAATCATAGTATGTGATGCTTGCAACGGCCATTCACCCTGATGAACGCCGTTTAACACGGTCGAAACATAGGTGAGAGACTAAGAACATATTATTTTACTCTTCACTTGTGGTACCGTATATATTTCTAACTTGACTTTGCCGCCTCTCACGGTTACATAGTAACGCATGGTAACGGGCACCGCTGGAATTAGGTCTCCATTGTATAGTAGTAACAGTACTAGGAATCGTTCCTATCGCAGATTCCAAGAACAAGTTTCCACATAAAATTCTGTTGATGTACCACAATGCAAACATGAATTTAATTCATTGGTGATGATGTAAGAAGTAAGAAGCTGACGTGAAATAAAAAAATTCATTTTTCATAAAGCATAGGTACCAAATTCAAAGTGTTGTGTTTATTACTGTCAAATATTTTCCATGCATGTTTGAATAGACAAAGCTAATTACCTTGGCTGTGGGATGGTCTTCAAAATTAAGGGCCGGTTGAATAAATCTCTTCGTCGGACGTAAACGCTATTATGCCGTTTGGTCCAGTCAAACGTTTTAATTATCAGTTTAACCACAGGTGGCCCAAGCGTAAAATGAGAGTTTGTATAAGAAAGAAAGAGTTTAAAACTTAGATGAATAAATGACGTAAAAGCGATAAAAATTATCAATAAAGTGTGAATATTGTTACCTGGAGTAGTCGTCTTTGTTTTTCGGAAATTTCAGCGCGATTTGAGTACTTTTACATCAACATCTGATCTGACAGTGTAATAATAAGAGTCAAGGCACAGGTAGCCCAAGCGTAATATGAGAGTTTGTATGGGAAGTAATGAGTTTGAAACTTACATGAAATAAATGAACTAAAAGCGATGAAAGTTATTAATAAAGTGTAAATATTGTTACCTCGTGTCGTTGTGTTTGTTTTTACGAAGTTTCAGCGCGATTTGAGTACTTTTACATCATTTGACCTGACAGGGTAATAATAAGAGACAAGGTAGTACAGAATCGCCCGATCGACCTTCAGAGCTGCTCATAATCAGCTCCAAATTTCACGCGAAAAAACAAACACACTTACATTTTACGCCGCCGAATCCACAAAGTGATGCCTTAAGATCACCTTCCTGCAATCCGTTCCGGTAAAGCTTGAGCCTGGATCGCATAACTCGACCGAAAAGATCAACTACAGTTCAAAAATCGGCGCCATTTATCCGTGGCTTGTAAAAGTGTAACTTTTCAACCATTTTGTCGTTCGTCGGTGACTGGGCGCTAGCGTCAACAAATAACTTACCGGGAGAGGGTGACATTTCTTCGTTAAGACAAATCTCTACGCGCCCGCCTCCCAGCAAGGAGGAAAATTTAAAAAACACTCCGAGTTTTCAAACAGCTGATGCAAACATTATAATTTTTTTAAATTTCCTCCTTGCTGGGAGGTAGGTGCTTAGAGATTCGTCTTAACGAATAAATATCACCCTCTCCCAGTGAGTTATTAGTTACCGTGCTAGCAGAGTCGCTTCGATCTTTCCTAGATAAGTCGGGAAAGAGGAAGCGACTTATCTAGGAATATCGAAGGGACTCTGTTCTTCTCTGTTCGCAGGGTAGTTATTACTATTAAATACTGTTAGCCACAACCTATTTGGTTTCTTTAGAAAATAAGATCCTATTTTAGAACCTAAAGAGCCTAAATTCGTGCTATTACCATTTATGCAAGATCCTGTTTAGGCTTCCTTGGGAAAATGCAGGTTCTTGCTCGCGGGTTTTTACTGTGTCAACACAGAAGTCACAGAAGAGAAGTGGCGAAATGATGGGAACCATTCACATCCATGTCAGTTTAAACAAACTGTCTTTTGTTTTCTGCATATCACAGAAACCACTGTCTTTCGAGTGTTTGATGTGGTTTGTCAAAATGTCAGCACTGAATTCTTGAAATAAAGCCAAAGAAAAAATTCACGATATTGACGTTAAGACGGAAGGCATTACCAGACCATGACCATTGCGAGTCCTTGACCTTGGTGGATAATTGATAAATTTGATAATCTCCTTCAACATTAATAAAATTAAGGACATATGATTGACACTCAACTCTTTTGGGAACAACCGATCTAGGAGTAGATCTTAAAATATCTTTAGAGGGATTACGATGGGTATAGGGCCTATATGGGGGATTCGTTCTCTGATCTTTATCCTCTCGTCTCCGTTCATAGTTTCGCGGGTGGATTACAGCTTTTGACAGGTAATAATTATAGCCGAAGCGTTTAGTACAGTTAGGATCTAACAAACCAGTTTACGCGTAAATCATTTAACTTCATTTTCCGGGTTACTTTGACAAGATTGAATAAAACCGATAAAAAGAATTCCTTTCTTTTCACTGTTAAGGTGGCTCCGTCATTAATACAGGCGCATTTAGCTGTGACGAAGTTTTCATCTTTCGTTTTTAACACGATGGCTGAGAAACTTTGCAAAGAAAACAACTGATATAATTCGTTAATACTACGAAATATTCTGATTTCATTGATGGTAAATATACTTCGCTAAATTGGCGCTTACAAAGAAAATCGCGTCTAGTAAAAAAATTTGCTGATATTTTTTACTGAAATTTCTGGTATCGGCTTTAATTGATATTATAAATATGCCAAAGAAATTTTAGAAAAATTGTTGGAGTCTGTAACTAAAAGTCGCTCAAAATTCATCTATTAAATTGTTTTGGAATTTCAAAAATAAATTACTATCAGGTAGAAGGAGACACCAGTTTGAATTTTCTGGACAAGTAAATTCAATGTTTGCTTGCTAATTCTTAAAACAAAAGCCGATTGCCTATCGTGCTATTCTTTAAAAGGTACTTTTTAGTTTTAGAAGCACTATAAATTGCTCCAAACTTTGCTCTGAAGTAGAATGACTTGTTTCTCGACATTTTTAAAATATCCCTTGGCAGTTTTGGCTCAAACTCCTGCTAGATACATTTTGATGTATTGCAATGCATTTTCAACGACTTTTACTACTGTTCGTTGTTTCCAACTCAGGAAAAGGTATTGAGATTGGACGCTACCTCGTATCAGAGCTCAGATAGAACTGTCCAGCATCTTTGTTTATGACTACAAAATGGGCACGAGTGGCAGTTCACAGTGCAAAATAAAATAATAATAAAATTATCGCAAAAATACTGCCCCTGAATAAAATTACAACACTAAAATTTTTGTCACTCCTTCTTTCAATGAATGGGTAGTTTTTTCTTGATTATTATGTTTTGCTCTGCAATACATGTTTATTCAGATCGGTTCGCAGACATGGGCATCATTGTCATTCGTCCCCCCTGGGTGAGGTGCGAATTCGTCGCAGAGCTGCCGCTCGTGCTCATTTTTTTCTGGTCATAAACAAAGGTGCGCATGGTTCTATGTGAGTTTCGATACAAGGTAGCTTACAGTCCCTATAACTTTTTCCTGAATTGGAAGCAACTTTTTTCAGTTCACCCGTGTTAAACTAATAGTTAATTATTCTATAAGACATAAGACACTTTCTGTAAATAACCTTTAAATTCTCTGAACTATGATTTGTATTCTGTCTTAGACATTCAAAAAGCATCAAAAAATACTTTCCAGGCCACTACATTCAATGACTTGCCCAGAAATGTAAGGACTTTTCAAGGAAAAATGGAATTCAAGGACTTTTCAAGGACTTCCGCTAAAAATCAAGGACTTTTCAAGATTGTGCGAACCCTGGTAATGCAAGCTAGTTCTATTCGTTGAGTTAGCTTCGTATCACCTACCTTTTGACAATAAAGAAATTAATTCATGAAAAAGATTCAAATAGTGGACAATTGCGACTGCCAGTGATCAACAGCTAAGTTATTTTTCAAGGTTTTTAATAGTATGAACATGTAGTGGGGCGCTTCTGATCACTTTGTTTAAGTGTGTTCTGGAGCTCCTGATATCCTCCTCTTTCACCAGCCAACTGATGATGTCTCCAAAAGTCAACTCTTTTTTATGCTTGTTAAAATTGTTACCTAACTGTTGCCCAACTGATCAAGAGTTTATAATGTACTTATACACGGTTCACAAGAATAATAAATAATCACTGAGCCAATATAAGCGGGTCTTATCCAAGAAAAAAACTTCCAAATTTAGCTCAATGTAATATTAAAAGAATAAACTGGTTTTGAGTACATTTTGCACATTAGGGTTAAAAAGTGAAGTCGCTGTTTGATATTAATAATTATTTGTTTCTTTTAATATTAGAAATAATTGGAATAATTTCGAAAACTCACTGTTTTCTTTTCTCAAAACTTCACAAGCTTTAAAAGTTTATCATGCCAGCTAAGGGTGCAAAAAATTAAACAAATAAACAAGCTTAACTACATAAATAAATTCTGCAGCTCGGCCAGTACTTCTTTGTTCTAGGACAAGCCAGTACACAAACAAAATTAAGTGCTAAAGCTTATGCAAGAAAAGGCTTCTTTGATCGCTCTAACACTGTGTAGTAAAAGCTCTATAACTAAGCACACTGAACTGATGGCATCATTGCGCTCATTGCCCGCTTTCGTGCCACCAAGAAACAAGCCACAAGAGTCATCGCTCGGCTATATTACAAAGATTTGCTTTTTTTCAAACGTAATAAGGTAATATTGAAGTAAATCGTTTACGTACCATCGAAGAAAAGTCGCCAAAACTCCAGCCATGCTCTTTTTCTCTCAGTCATATTTCTGCTAAAACTTACGATCAAAACAATAAAAAACCTCGCCGAGATGGTCAAAGGCGTTATCTTTGATCCCTGGTCTAGTTAAAATTCCTTACTAACAAGACTTGCACTTCTAACACATTCACCGAATTCTTCCTTCGTGAGTTTATCAGATCAATTTCACGTCGCAAAAGTGCATCCCTCGCGCTGGTACGCTTGGTAAACAAATGATGTCACGGACATGCGCAGGACGTTATTCAGCCCTGTCGTGTAGCCATGCAATAACTCTCACCCCAGTCCACCCCCTTATATCCCAAGCACTGACCTACAGTGTGTAAACAAGGCCTAGTTCATAATTTCTTTTGCTGCCTTTACAGGCTTAAAAATGCTGCACAGACTAACTTTTATCGTTTTATCTTACCCGTAACAAGGTGGAATTCAATTCAAGCCTTTAGAATTTGATCCAATTCATCTTCCTAGAACTTAATAAAGCACCTTATACTTCAGTAGTTAAATGAATCAGGCATTCAAGAACAAGCCACCAAACTGAATAAGGAGGCCAAAGGAGTGTTCTTGCAGAGTTCGTGCTTTGAATTATCACAATTTTAACACGGGCGCTAACACAGACAACCCAAACTCTGTGGGAGTTCGTTGGACTTTGAATTTACAAGAGAATGTATGAAAATAAACAAAATACGTCCTACATTCCAATTTTAGACAAAAATAGATATAAAAATGACTTACCTTGTGTCTGTGTTTTGTTATTTACTGTCTCTTCGCCTCTAGAACCATTTGGAAGCCGTTTTATTGACGTCTAAGATATTAAGTTGTACCCAACAGTAAGAAAAATGGGAAGGTTGGGACTCTGAAGCCGACCGTTCCAGCTCGAAGCTCCATAAATCCCATATAAATGGTCCAAACTCGCCAAAATTGCCGTCAAAGGATCTGTCGATAATTTGTCTTTCCCTTGTATGCTTCTGGAGTCTCAGATTTCATCACAACCGCTAGGGAAGCGCTTGATTTTAAACTTTTTCCATCAGAGTTTTCTTTCTCGGGATGCGTATGACCGGGCTCTTGGATGTGACGTAATGAACGGTCGCTCAAAGCTTACGTCACAGCAATTGGATGTGTTCCAATTTATATTGTTAAATGACCCTGCTCCAGGAGTCCTCAATTGCCATACGCAGTTCTTGCCCTGCGCCTTTTAAGAAAAAAATTCCCTGTGAACAAATTATAGCATGTTGAGTATTTCACTCCCTTGAGAAATACGAAGACACAGTCATAAGAGGCAGTGTAGCCAAGTGGTTCTAAATCATCCCCAGTCTTCTTCGTAGCGCCCATGGTGAAAGGAGAGGAGAAGAACTGACTCTCGCCCTCGCTTTCTCCCTTCCCATCACAACTTGCGCACCACTAGGGAGAGATTCAATGAGAGGCGACTATACAGGCTCCCAGACAGCGGTGACAGCCGTGGTTCTTTTAATCTGCCTTAATTCCGTTTGTAGTATCCTGGTGATGTTTGGGAGAAGTCTAGTTACATATGTAGTAGAATAGATTATTCAAAATGGCGGCCACTCGATCAGTAAGGGGATTAGACAGACCAGGGCCAAGACATGTACCGCACGCCCTGAGTTAATGAGCTCGGACTTGTTTGACCTGAGATTAGGAAAATTTTAGGAACTTCTTACCGAACTTTTTTTTACCAAGGACAACGAAGATAGAGCCTAATCTCAGGCTAGGGTTTGATGGAACAAATTATTCAGAAGGAGGTTGGACAAGCAGGGACAAACTGGTTTTGCGCGGGATAAACGGGATATTGGAGTGATGAGTGGGAGAATACATCATTTTCAGTACAGTAATGGATGGAAACGAGGCTGGAGTGACCTTGTTTTGACTCTCGACCCTTTCTGCTTTCTTAAGTAAATCATGTTGTTCTTATGCTAACTGGTATTTTTCAAACGTAATTTCCATATGAAGCCGCAAAGAAGGTTTGTATCAAAATATGGTCAACTTCAGCTTTGCATTCACTTGATTATAATTATAAAGTGGTGTATTGAATGACTTATATGTAGACAAAAATGTTACTCAGGTTATTGTTCACGTTTTTATTAATTTTTTTCTAAGATTTTATGTGGTAAATTGAAGGCTGCATAAACTAAACTACTCTCGACTTTAAGTCTAAATCGCCAAACAAATTGAACCGTCAAATTTATCTAAAAACATTTCTATATTTTGTTTGTGTTTCACAAGGATATAAACGGATACAAGAAAAAACCTGCTCGTACCTTTTCTTTTCATTTAAACAAGCATTCAAAGCCAAAAAGAAGCTAAAAGAAAAAACAATGAATTGCTACCTCGTTTGAAAACCCAGCGCACTAGGACACTTTTACATTAAACGAAGGGAAAAAGACTCAAGAAAAGTGATTCTTGATTTTGCTTCAAGTGAAACTCGCAAGCAGCCTTTGTCTTTCCGGTCGATATTAGCTCCAAAAGCCCTTTTCAGTGTCAGAAACCTAAGATCAATAATGAAAAAAAAAAAAAAAAAAAAAGGAAAGCATCCTATTTCCAATGTTATACCAAACAAGGCTTACAAGATAAAATATAAACACCAAGGGCTCGGTTCCTCAAAAGATCATGGTTTGGTAACCCAGGATTAAGCTGAATTTTAAGCTAGGTTTTCTTGTCTAAGAACATGTAACTCAGGCATACAAAATACTCTTGGTCACTATAAGCAGTACATAGGAACGCAAAATACAAAAAAAGGAACAAAATTTTGATGATCAGTGGATTAGCTTCTCAGGAACCGGGCCAGATATTAATCCAAGAAAAGTACCAGTACACTAAGTATAGATCATAGGCATCATAATACTGCTACAGAGGAACCTCGATTTAACGGAGTGCCAAGGGACTGGGAAAATTTATTCGTTATATCGTGGGTTGGTTATATCGAAAACCTCGATTTAACAAATTTTTGAGAAAACAAGCAAAATGTTCGTTATATCGAGGTTCTGTTCTATACATTTTATTGTAATTTTGGTCGGGCTGAAAAAAAAAATTAGGTCGTTATACCGAGGACTTTGTCATATAGAGGTTCGATAAGTCGAGGTTCCACTGTACTAGAACCTCTCAGGGTTTTGTTTCTTGTGCAGTTAGGGCTATTTTAAATATACAATGAAAACGAAGTAGATTCTGGCTGTAAAAAAACAATTTAAAAAAAAATCAGCGATATAACGATTTAACCTGTTTCCTCTTCTGCTGTAATCTGCACGCTACTGAAGAGCCAAACTTTACAAGTATTGTGCTCATTATTACTATTATTTTTTTATAATCTGACTTGATTTGAATAAAATAAAAAGTATTTTAGCCACTCCTGGATTTGTAGTCCCTTATCAAATTTAAATTTCCACTTTTATTTAGATATATACAAGATTTGTTAGGGCTATGAACCCCGAACCTACACACCTATCATCGAATTACAACAACATCTTTCGTAACTACCCTATCCAACAGCTTATGCATTAGAACTCTGCATAAGCACATGTGGTTCTTATTCGTCCAAGCCAAGATAGGCTTCATTAGTAAATTCACGTGGACGACTTTCCGAGTCTGGGTGTTGTCTTCTTTTCCTTCTACAAAAAGAGAATGAATAAAGAATTGCAGAAAAGTAGGATTAGTTATTTGTAAGCTGTATGCCGCTATTTTAATTGAGATTCTTGACTTCTTTCGTCCATATTTTCTCACATGGGTAACGGGGTGGTCAACCGATTTCTCAGCCATTTTGTTTTCTAAAGCCAAAAAAATTTAAAAGTTATTATTATTATCATTATCATTATTACTATATTAAAGACGACAGTTAGACTTTGTTGACTCAGATCTTCAGATCAAAAATATTAGAGCCTGCCCGAATTAATTAATTAATTAATATTATTATTTTTTTAATTTTTTTTAAACAAGTTTTTTAAAGAATTAGGAATTTAGGAGTACGAAATTTTATTCTTTTTTAACTTGTTTCTTTTTAATATCAGAGACGGGTGTTTCTCCTTTGTAATGACTTAATTTAAAACTCCGGACCGCCTGCAAGAGTTAGTGATCGCATCTGAGCCGCAAGGAATGTATTTGCGAAATCGTTATTGACACAGTGATCGCATTTTTTTGTGACTTATTTAATTCTTAATGTTATATAGTACTTAATTCTTACTTCATATATTTCTGTAAATTATGTGCATATTTTTGAAGTTGAAATAGTTATTATTATTTTTCCTTACAATTAGTATTATTACTACTATCATTATTTTAAACAAGCTTTATTTCGTTTAGTATTAATAGTATTTTGAACCCGAAATCTCTTTAATTTCACGAACAATATTTCCCTTTTTTCCTTCTTTCTTGCCACTGACGTCAAGTTATCAGTGTAATAATAACTACTTCCTAGTTTACCCGTAAAACCTCCACCCATCTTCCCAATTTGACCGCTACAAGGCTTGAAATCACGGCGTTTTTCCAGGCCTTCTCGGTCAATTCACTTTGGTGACGTATCCCAGGCGAAGAGGGGGGAAATTAACTTCTTCGTTCGGCCCATGTAACAAGAAGCGCATTGGCCGTGGGGAAATTAAAATGAAGAGGCCTTGGACTCTGAGGTAAGCTTGAAATGTGTGAGATTTGAGACTAAAATAACAAAAAAACTTTTATCTGTCAACTTACATGATGAAAATTCCGCAAAGTACCAGCACAATAACCACAACTAACCCGCCAGCTATTAGTGCAATGACAACATGATTGGAAAAAGCGCTTTGCTCTTTGGAGCTAGTCTTGGGTAGATCTAAGAAGAGGAAAATAAACAAAAATCTTCAATCGACGTTAATACTACTGACCACTGAATTTGCAAAACCAACTGTTTAACCTTAAAGTGACACTATACAGTACAGAAATGAGAAGACAACCATCTTTTCCATATGGCGTTGTTGACACGTGATGACGGGTTGAGAGTTTAGAGACAATGAAAACATCCTACATCCTCATCCTCCTGCTTTGTATTTATACACCAATAACTTACATTTCCTGCTTCCAATTAAGAAATGGTAAACGTTGCAGCTGTGCAACTATGGAGTTATGGATGCACGCGGGAGGTTGCTAAGCACGAAAGAAGCGTATCGCCGAGTGCGACTCTAGCTTCTTGAGTGTTTAACAAACCTCTCAAGTGCATCCATAACTCCATGGTTGCACAGCTGCAACGTTTACCATTTCTTTTATAACATAATCAAAACATTATTTTCCATTTGCCTTCGGTTGAGTCATCGGTACGAGTTCATGTATGCTGCCATCTGCCCGCGCGTAAACAAATCATGTTCTATGTTTTTCAGCAACTTGCCTTTGAGTTTTTCTTTCGCTGAATCAACCGTTCTCCGTCTTCAGGTAAATTGAAAAACGTTTTTCGTTGTTATTCTGAATGGCATCTGTCTACTTGCTCTTAATATTGAAGGAAAACTATACATGTAGCTGCAACTATAAACACCAACTAAAAAGACTCTAAAAAATAAGCTAAAATTAAATAAATGAAATAATTATCAAGCTTATTTATGCGACAATTTTTGAAATAAACGTAAAGTAGAGATGAGAAAATGTGACTGTAATTCCTTTAGAATAACAGGTAGCACTAATTTTAAAAAGAAATTAACTAGCTTTGTATCGAAATCTGTCTGGGGAAATCCAGCTATGAAAGTGAAAGTTGCAACTGAAATTGGCCGGCACACAGCCGGCGCTGAAGCTGTTGTTTTTCGACCGTTCTCTGAACGACTGTTACACAGAAGTTATTTTTTGAAAAATTTATTTGAAAACCCAAATGTTTCTGTACTCAAATGTAATTGGCTTTTTCCAGCGTAATGTGCCCGTTTAAACTCAACTAAAATTTTTCATCGATGCAATGAAAACTTCACAACAAAGCTTTCTCGAATTTGAGCGTGTTTCCTCAAATATTTGCTTCAATTTAGCATCAGCTTGACCAAAAAGTCAATAACACAATGCTAATTGATAAATTTACATTTCAAACAGACTTTCTCTTCTATAAAAAACACACAAAATGTACCTTAAATCTTTGCTCGCTCGATTTTCCTTCAGCCGATTCTAGCCGCGAGGAAAACAGTGATTGATTCATCCAGGGCAAATTTGTCGCTTGATCTTTTGTCTCTTTTCCTTCAAAACGACAGCTTAGTATTTTCTTCATCTTTCACTTTTCATCTGTACATTTCATCGGTGTATTTTACTGTCAGGAGGGGAGATTTGTGGAATTTACCTAAATTTTACCGCGCTAGCTCAGTTTCTTGGCGTGCACCCACGGGCAAATGGTAGTGGCTTTTTGTTATGTTATAAATAAAATTTTTAGGTCATTTGGATCCGAGGACAGTTTCTCGGAAAGCTTAAATATGAATATAAAGGACACATGAGACCAAATATCTTGCGAAAAGGTAAAATAATAATAATAATAATAATAATAATAATAATAATAATAATAATAATAAAACATTCAAATACCACGTACACCTATGTTTAAAAATGTTTAAAATAATCAGGCCTTTATTAGCTACGTAAAGTTTTATATTTTCACTGAGATTGTAATATAATTCAATCGAACAGTTATTCACGTGAAAAAGTTACTTAATACCATTCCAATTAAGGTAATCTAATTTAAAGATAATAGCAAATAGAGCCTCAACCTTGACAGTCTTGCAATTTCTTTGATGCTTGCTGACCGGAAGTTGATGTTCCGGAGGGGCATGATTTACAGGAAGTCTGGGCCTCTTGATCCTGATATTGATTTACTTCGCATGCTTGACAGCTTGTGCCATCGAAAAAGTATCCAATGGGACAGTTAACTGGTTTTTAAGATAAAGAAAGTCAATGTCATTATTACTTACTTCGACCATAAAACATAGCGACACAGTCTTTATTAAATGCTTCCAATCTACTAGAAAAGAAAACTTAACTGGTTATTTGCAATGGGTCAAGCTTCGTAAAAATTCCCTGCCTAATTATCAATTACATTCAAAGTACGCAGGTCATTCCTCCTTTTCGTTAGAAATTAACTTAACTAACTGTGGACAGACTATATTGATAGAATCAAACTTCCCATTTAGAGCTCTCGGGAATATTTTGTTGGCCAGGAATTCTAGGGACGAAATTTTGGGATTCGCCGGAAAAGATTTCGTACGAGGCGTTAAATGCTGCGGCCGAAACATAATAATAAACTCAGTACCCGATTAATCGAATTGAAAAAGGTCAATTATTGGGCCGGTCCTCCTTACCACACATAACTCCACTCTGAACTTGCCCCTCTTCACAAACCAGACGAGAGAGCTGAATCTGCGGAGGTTTTGAAGGATCTGTACGTATAACGATTCCACCGACATTCAAAGTCATATCGACTTTGTTCAGAACATTTAGTACTTCCTTCGAAATTTGCACAGATGTCTGGTTTATATCCACAGATGTGTTGAGATTGTTAGGTAAGGGAATTTGCAGCGAAAAGCTAACAGTCATAGGAATGGTCGTCGTATTCTGGTTACTAGTCGTATCTGATCTTTTTCGACGAGTTGTAACGCCACATTCGACCTTGACGTTTTGAACATTACACTGAGAGACGTCACTACAAGCTCCAGCATGACCAAACGTTGTTCTCATTAAAACTTCTATGAAGTTCCTTGCGATCTCCTCTCTCATTTCTTCTCCGCCGCAATTGTCAGTGAGATAGTGGTATTGTCCGTTCCACAAAGCACTTTTGGGTATGTGTGTCTCTATTATGGAGAAAAAGAATTAAAAAAATTAATAGGTTACGATGCAACAAACTTAATGAGGTGGGGCACCCAAGTGATCATTAACTGTCCAACTTTTCGAATGTCTTTGGTTACCCTTGTTGAGTAAACCGATATTCATATGTTAATTGTTTACCTGTAACGTAGGCGCCTTTATGGAAAGTAAATACTGCGTTTAAGCTAGGTTCCTTGATTTTAGTAGACATTAAGCCCATCAGTTTTGCGATAAGGCTAAAGTTACAAGATGATATTGTTTCACGTTGATCGTTTTTGTCCTTACAAGGCAAGAAAAGATCAAAAGTAACAATACAAAAAAACACCTATTGTTCTCAAATTCAGGTCGCTTTTCTTGATATATACGGTTAAGATTAAAAAAGGCAACTCTTTCTTAAAGGACGCTTCTATCAGACGAACATCTCTCTATAATAGGACACCAGGGGTGCTCACCATTTACAAAAACCACTTTAAACAGAAAATTATAAAATTTTACATTATGGGAAAACGATCCGCTACAAAGTATATCCATATCGGCTGAAAACCCTAAAAAGAGTGGAAAAATCGCATCGCATCAAAACATAGGCCATATTTTTTGGAGCTCCCCAAAACGGAATGGCGCGCAAAAGTAGATTTTTCAAAGGGATCGGTATTTCCGGCTTTCCCTATGTAAATGTTAAGTACCCCTAAAGTTGATCCCTGCTGTTGTCCAGTCTCCGGTCACAACGGTCAAGTTTATCTTAAAGAGAGTTGACTCTTCAAATGCATTTCCTTACTTGAGCAATCAGGAAGGGACGGTTTCTTCCCTTTGTTTTTTCTTGCGTGAAACCATTCTCCAGTGGTAGGGCTACAGATATATACGGGACGTGGTTGGTTCGCAAATCCATATCCGTTATTACAATGCACCGAGCACGTAAGTCCAGCCATCCACGTTTCACACGCTTTGGCTCCATTCTTAGGTGGCGCAAGCTCTTCACATGGTGAATCTTTTGTAATAAATAATGGAAATTATAATTAGTTAATGATATGACTGATATCATTCGTTAGTTTTAGAGAAAAGTGTAATGTATCAACTGGTCTCTCTTTTGAGTGAGCTATATATGTAGATGTGCAGTGCCAAAAAGTATGCTCAATTAGCTTTATTGGGCTTAAATTATTTTTCTCTTAAATGGGATAAGGTAAGTCCCACTGGACTGGAACCGACGTGTAGAATTAGGAAGAGCTCATAAGAGACGCAACATTAATAATTGAAGAACTTCTTAAATGTGGACGCAAACCAAATTATTTGCTAGGTAGATGGAATCATGTATCAGAGTGTACGGGCTTTTAAGGTCAGGTTTGGATCGAGTAGTTTATGGAATTTCGGTATAGGTTTTAAACGACGAAGAAAATGTTACACTTCGGTCAAAAATAAATACAAGGTTTTCCAAAAACACACAGCGTACTACGCGGATTTTCTGGAAATATCATCCCCTCCCCCTCCCACCTAAGCTATAGCTGCTCCTTGAAAATTACTGCATAAGCATTACCTACCAGCTATAGTGAAAAGGAATCTACACTGCGCAGCATTTCCTGCTTTGTCGAGTGCCTTGTAAGTGACGTTATAGTCTCCCCATGTCACCTCGCTTCCATTTTGAATATTTGTTGAGAAGAGCTCCACACCCACGTTATCTGAGACATTAACTGACGGCAGGACGAGCTTCTGCCATCTGGCTGTTGATATAATCTTGATATCACCAGGACAGAGAACAATCTTGGGGGGTTCTACATCTGTTCATGTAAATACATAACGTTTGGACAATACAATCAACTCTTAACAAATCTCCCCTGCAATGGAATCTCAGAGGTGGAGCCAGAATATTTTGTTAATCAAACATGACGACATGTTTTCACATGACGTGACGTCCGCCATATTGGTTTCCTTGTAAGGTGTTAAAACAGATTTGTCCAGATTTTGTCACGTCCAGTGAGAGGCAACTCGCATCGCAAGTTTCATTGTTAAGCTACAAGATGAAAGTTGGTGATCATTTTAAAAAGGAATTCTCCCGTAAGACATTTATATTCATAAGAGTTCGGACCCCTCCGACTAGACCAAGGGCATGGTTTTTTCTCCATCTATTATAGACCCTTAGACCACAAAGATAGAAAAAAAAGTGTGAACCAAAAAAACCAAAACAAAACAGCAACAACAAGTTTTCCCAACATGAAACTTAACCTTGTTTTAAGGAGTATCACAAATTTTATTTTATAAGGGGCAAAATGTGTTTAACTAAGTTCACCTTTAACTCGAATGGAGAAAACACAGTCCACTTTAAGCCCTTCCGAATCAGTGACATCGTATCTGATTAAGTTTGTGCCAACATTCATTCGCTGTGGAGGAAGTAGGCCACTAAGATTCAAGGGTCCTTTAGAGTTGTCGGTTGGAACTGGAACCTGCCACGTGACTATTGCGTATGATTTCCCAGCGGCTGTGGGAGTCTCCATGTTAGGTGGGCATTGAATGCTGGGAGGTTGCATATCTGTTAAAAGAGCAATTTTTCGTTTTTCTGTTGTAGTTACGTATTTAGAAATAAGTATAGGTAATAGCATGATTTGTAGTGATATTTGGCATAAATACCACTCGTGATATTTCGAAATGTTATACTTAATTTTACGAGCCGTTAGGCGAGTGAAATTTGAGACAATTTTGAAATATCACGAGTGGTATTTAAGCCAAATATCAGGTACAAATCAATCATGCTATTATTTATTTATACTACTACCCGCAAAGGTTTTGTAATTTTCACATGCAGGTATTTCAAATTAAGCTGAAATACCACTGCTCTAGGCCAATCAAATTGCAGAAATTTCTCATGTAGTAGTATAAAAGCCAAACTACATAGTTATTTTCACAGATTGGGAAAAAACGTTTGTTCAAGTGTATCAGTACGCTAAGTACTTGTGCCAGTGCAACCTGAGGTTCAAGCAGTAAAGCAAAGGAGATACTCCAAGATTCTACATTTAAAGAAGTCCAATTTTAAGTCATTATCAGCAGCACTTTTGGTACTTACCTTTACAGGTAATATTGCTAATGTTTCCACTCCAAGAGCCATTTGCAAGGCAAGATACTTGCGTGGGACCCTCAAGTTGATACCCGTTTGAGACATCACATTGTAGAAAACAACGGGTCTTATAACTTACTCCCCCAGAAAGACTGCAGGGAGCGGGGCTGATTTTTCCGTTGGCCAGAGCTTTGATGGAAGGGCACTTAACAACTAGATAGAAAATAATTCCAAGAAATATGTTTAATCACATTGGCCGTTTTTATACTAAGGACGCATTACCCGTCTGGACGAGCTTAGGCAAACTTTTTGTAGTTCGTCTGGTTATGTGTCTCTAGTATAAAGAAGAGCACAAGACGCATTATGCGTCCAGAGGAACTACCTTTCGTAGTACGTCGTTCAAGACGTATTTCGAAGGAAAGTTCGCCCAGACGCATAATGCATCTTGTGCTTGTCTTTATACTTAAGACGCATAACCAATCGAACTACAAAAAATTTGCCCAAGTTCGTCCAGACGGGTAATGCGTCTATGGCCGTTTTTATACTTAGGACGATGTCACTGATTGACGGATAATGCGTCGTCTAGTATAAAAACGGCCATTACCACGCTTTTTGCCGTTTATTGTACCAAAATAGAAGCCAACGAACTAAAGAAGGGAATTCGACTAAAGAAGTGTTTCTTTGTTTTATTCATTTTATCATAATGTTAGTTTCTGTATGAAAAAATGAAAGAGCTAGAATATAACACTGACAGTTAGGAAAAAAGCCTCGGTTTCAGGAATACGATCAGAAATTTATTTGTGACTTGGTTTTTTAGATCAGTTTACTCTACCAGCTCTCAGCGAGGCCAGGAGGAGGGCGGCTGGAAAGGAAGTGTTTGTGATGGTTCGTCTACACACTTAGAATACTCAATGGCAATCAAAAAACATTTTTAAAAATTGTTGTTACTGTTCAAATGTTACACAAAGATTAACTTGCACCATGGCGCCTTATCATCGGCGTAAATTAATGCATCAACAACTGAGTTCGTTTAGGAACCGTTATCAGTTGTCAAAGTAAAGTATGAGTTGCAATTAATTTATAGCAAAGGATATGCTGTGTCTGACTCGTCCCCAGTGGTCTACGCGTGACGCGCGCGGTGGGAGCAGGGGGTAATGGGAAGGGAGAAGACGTGACTGGAGGACTCTCTCTCTCTCGTTTTCCTCCTTCACATCACACCCCGCGCGCCACGAGGAGAGGTTGTGATAGATGACTGGGGACGAGTCAGATGCTGTGCTTTCTTAAGGTTCTTACTTTCACAGGTAGTTGTATTGCCTGACCAAGTACCATTTGCTTCACATGACCGCATTCGTGAGCCAGCCTGTCGATGTCCCTCGTTACAAGCGATAATAGCTTGAGAACCGTAGGCAGATCCACATGAAAGAGAAGTTATGGCGCCATATAATGGCGGTTGAAGGACCGGGCACGACCTTTCTGCGAAAATGAAAACAAAATACTTTAAACATATAGCTTATTAATGTATGTTGCAGGTACCTTACTCAGAGGTTGAATGCAGCACAGACTTGGAGACATTGTCCCAAGAGGAACGATGAGATATGGATTGAGTGTTGTATAACGCTTCTTAGATCAGCCTTAAATATTTTATATAAAGATCTTTGACCAAGTAAGGACTTTATAAACACATTCCATCAATTACTACGTCTTTACAAGACCGTAAACTCGATTTCTGTGGGCATCTCTATGGACATAAGTACTAAATTGGAACAATACGCTTCAATGGAATTCATTTCTGTAAGAGGTTTGAACCGTGAACGGTTTGAGCCCAGGAGTCATTTCATAAGTATGGGGTCATTTCAGCAGGAGGACATGTTACATTCCCGGGTTTTGCCCTTTTATTCTTGGATTCCTCCCTCTAGCCCTCTTTAGATCGCAAAATACTAAGCATTAATGCGTAATTCTCCCCTATTTATCCGGCATTCCGATGTTTTAAAACTCTTCCTACTGCTCTTTCCTCTCCCGCTTTCCGTATCCCTCCTGGCCTTATTCTCCCGATATCCCGCCTTCTTGCCCTCCCCACATTTCCCGGAAAGGTGATATTGATGTTGCCATGCAATCCCTTACACACTATAGAATATTTAAATATTTTGTTTGAGCTTGTCAGTGACCTGCTGTAGGGATCTTTATCGTCCATGACGGAGTAGTGTAGGCGGTGAGTGCGTTTGTGTAAGATAGGAGTCATAAGCAATTGAGGCAACTAAATATCGATAAATGGCATTATTATTCATTCAAAATATTTCCCTGTTTCTGATTGGTTAAAACCACACGCATAATTCACCATAACCAGCCGCTGTTGACCAAATTTGGAAAGAATTTTATCATCTTGAACCGATGACGTCAAAATGACGTCAAAAGTGCAGCCTTGTTGCAGATTATTGAACCGTTGACCAAGAAAACCTGGGGACGAGATTGAATTGTTTTGGTAGTTAGAACAAAATGGCGGAACTGTTGGGGAAAGTTTTACTCGTTTCACGGCGAAATATTGTTTAAAAACATCGCAAGAACAGCAAGAAGACAACTCGACGGACATCTGCTATTAATTTGGAGTATATATATCTGCAGACCTGAGCAGACCTTAATCTCCTGAACTTCCCAATAAAGATGCATTATGGATATGAACTTACATCGACCGAGGTTAGCATGTTTTAGCTTGTTTTTAAACTTGGAATTATTTTGAAGGAATGATAAAACAATTATTGATGGGTATATTTACTTATGACTTGCACCACGAAACTGCAGTTTGCTCTGTTTCCCTCGGCGTCTTCTGCAGAATAGTGAACATAATGCAGCCCAATACTTAGATTGGCTGGAGGACGCACTGCTGAGTAGCTTAAGGTCATGTGACCAGAGTTATCTCTTGCTATTGGTTCATTCCACGAGACCAAAGTACTGGACGAACATTTAGGAACAGAAACCACCATGTTTCTTGGACAACTGCCGTTAAAAGAAGGAGGCGTATTGTCTGAAAACAACCAGATTTTGTTTCGACAAAGATCTTGTTAAATTTAAGGATAATAATAAGAAAACAAGAAAAGGATGCGCATAGACAATTCTAAACTAGATTAATGTCTTATATGTCTTTCACTTCTTCCTAATTTATTTGGGTGTAGAGATTTTGATTAAATAGGATAGGTCCTTTTTGATGCTATTCAGTTTTTACGTACATCGGTTTTTAATCTCACTGACTATAGAGATAAATAATTGTTAAATAAATAAAGGCAAGTTATTACTCTCAGCTGAGTTTTATAAATTTTTCTGGCCACAAATAGGTTACTTGCCGGTCGAATGATTGAACTACTCTTACATTCATGAGGAGTTATCAACTTCGCAGAAAGAAGCTATAATAACCCTAATAGAGAAGAAAGACAGGGATTGAGGAGTTATCAAAAATTGGAGACCGATATCTCTAGTAAACGTAGACGTTAAAATAGGCTCAAAGGCTGATCGCAAAGAGATTAGGAAAAGTCCTGCCATATGTAGTCCGTCATGACCAAAATGCTTTCGTGAAAGGAAGAACGATTTTTGATGCCGTTGGAATAATAAGCGACATCATTGATTATACGGAAATGAAGGGATATGAAGGGATAATGTCCGCCATAGACTTTAAGAGGGCTTTTGACTCCCTGAGTTTGGACTTACTTTTTAAATCTCTTGAACTATTTGGGACAGTTTTTAATTGCATCTTAAAGATTTATGCAGAGACCTTTCAATTAGATTGGGAAAAAGTGCACTCATTATTTTTCAAAATAACGCTGGACACAAAAGTAAGAGAGTTTCAATACAAAATACTTCATAGAATCTGTTACACAAATGTCACGTTGTTCAAATTTGGTTTATCTAAAACTCCATTATGCTACTTCTGCAATGAAGAATCAGAGACACTAGAACATTTCCTCTTTCACTGCGAAACACTTTCTGGAATGAGCTTAACACTATTCTTAAATCGCAAGACCTAGTCTCAACCAACTTCGACATTAAGGATATTTTATTTGGCCATTTTTGCTGGGATGATGATGACAGTATTCTTGCTAATTATATTATTCTCGAGAGTAAATATCTTTATTTTTTGTTCAAAATATATCATCCCTCTCGACTAGCCTTTTATTTGCAAAATGTAAAAAACATACCAAATAGTACGTTTCATTGTGAACAAAAATAACAAACTCCACTTCCACAATAAAAAATGGGAACCTCTACTGCTGTTGATGGAACTTTAGCTATCACCACGCTTCAGCGACGACAATTTCCACCAATGTAGCTTTTTCTTATTTGTTTCTTCAAGTGACGCTTGCCTAGTGTCTAGTGTTTAGTATTTAGTGTTAGTGTATAGCGATGTAGGTGTGTTAACTTGTGTTTTTGTTTAGCGTAGTAATGATGTTAAAAGTAGTGATTAATGCTTCGTTTCTTCGGCTTTCCGTTATTACATGCAGTTTTATTTACTGTACTTTTTTCCCTACTTTTTCTTCATTTTATTTCATTATTATTTTTTGCAACCGCTGTAAAAAATTCTATAATAATAACAATAAAAAAACCTGGTAACAGGTTAAAAACAAAAAAAAAGTTTTCGTAGTGTAACACTTAAAGAAGAAATTACTCGATACCTCGACAAAAAGTGTCCTTGTTCCCAGTCCACTTTCCGTTCTTGTCACATACCCTTGTTGAAGTGCCCTCTAGAACGTAGCCTGATGTCTTGCAGGAAAAACTGCAGGACTGGCCGTAAGTGCTTCTTGATAAACACGAACGTGGAGACACCGCACCATTTGCAGGAGGCGTGAGTGCACTGCAGTTTACCACTGCAATATGTGATTTAAGAAAAAAAAAAACATTTCCGTCATAGGCCATTTTGAGATTGAGAGTGGGCCGATGTTGTGTCGAATTGCACCGTGGGATTGTTTATCTAGTTTTTTCTATTGGCGACTGCAGTTGCGAAGGAAACTGGATCAAAAACAGTCCCACAATGCAATTTGAGACAACATCGTCCCAGTCTTTCTGCGCGACTTCAAAATGGCCGACGTAGCATTACTTTATTCAGAAAACAAAAAGCGCCCACAGAAAAAGCGTAGCGCTTAATAAATTCGCCGCCTGTAATTTACTTTCCTACTACAGGCCGTGCAGCCGATGTGTGAGTGCAGTGTCGTGAAAAAGCAGTCACTACTTTAGTATCAAAATGCCTTCCATAACAACACCCACCACTGGGAAAGTTTCATATCTGAATCAACATGGACGCGTTAACTGAATGACATGCGAATGTGTGAGTCAAAAATTTGAGGCACACTACCCAGGAAAAGGCATTATTTTTGTCAATTTAACTCGGGGTAGAACGCCCACCCCCACAAATTGAGGAATACAAAGGACAATATTTATGATAAAAACCTCTCCCCCACAGCGTTTTATTTAGTTAAGTTAGCCAATTTTGAAATCGTAAGAAATACCTCCTCTATGAGCGGTGTCATAATACTTACCTTGACAAGTTGGAGCCACCCCACTCCATGTTCCATTTTCCAGGCACTGTCTCCTTGACGAGCCGGTCAAATTGTAGCCAACATTACAAGAGAAGCTACAAATTGCGCTATAGCGTTCGGACACTGGGTCAGTACAGCCACGTTTGATTCCATTGATTAGATCAGGATAAGATAGGCAGGTAATTTCTAATGAAGAAATAAATTTTAAACACTCGTCTGATACTTTTGAAAAAAGGATTATACAGGACACTAGTTTATGGAGTAAACCGAAAGGGGTGGGTGTCGAGCTATCATGCGAACTTTTATGCAGTCGTTCGCATGGCTTATTAGTCCAAGGACTTCTTAAATGCTAGAAGCCGTGAAAGCGGGAAAGAAAGCTCTGCTCACAGTTCTACTTTCAGTATAACATATTCAAATAGAGATGAACAGCATGACGTCAGCATCCTACCATGAAAACGGTTTAAATGGTTGCCAAGCGTCTATTGCTTCCTTATTGAAATAGAGATGAAAAGCACGACATCAATATTGTACCCTGAAAACGTACCCTGGCATACAGGAATAGGACTGTCCCAGACTCCTGGAGGGCTGTTACCAGGGGCATTGCATGTCACCGTTGAAGACCCATTCAAACGGTATCCAACGGCACAGGAGAAGTTACACTTTGAACCATAATGATCACCACAACTGTCCATTTGTAAAGGACCTCCAGGACTAACTCGTAGAGTTGTACAATTGATCACTAACCAAGAAGAGATACAAAAGGGATATCACTATTATTGCTGTTGATAAACACCTAGAATAAGACAAAACGGCAGTCAAACAAAACGTTAGCTAAGCGTATTCAAGGGTAAGGGCCCCTAGTTAATTCAGTCACAGATAGAGGACGTAAATCCAAAGTTTTAACTTTGAGCGGTCTGAAATGCCCCAGGTCGAAACCTCAGGAAGTGCAGTGGACTGCACACGCTGACGGACAAAGTACAATTAAACGGAGTTAATGAATATTATTGGATACAGTCTTTGTTACCTAAAATGATGACTGAAAACCTGCAGTTGGCTTTGTTTCCTGATTGGTCCACAGCTGTGTATGTGATCAAGTGAGTTCCTTGACTAAACCTTGTTGGCGACTGGTAATTTGACGTCACTGATTTGACAACTCCTGAGTTGTCAGTGGCAACCGGCTGGGTCCAGTTCACCAGGGCAGAAAGCATTTCTCTCTCAGCATAGGCGAACAATGTTTTTGCCGGGCATGTTGCACCAAAGTTTGGGGGTTGAGTGTCTTAAGAAAGAAGAAAACAAATTGCCTAAAATAAATACCTTTAGAACAGGCCATGACAACGTGAGAATCATGAAACAAGCTAACAAAATAATGAGATCATACTATGAATTATAAAATAAGAAAACTGCTCTGTTCTTTCATGGTGGGAAATCGGAAAGCGTTACTGGAAAAGGATGGTTTTTAAATTGGGCTTCCAAGTAGACTAGTTTAGCCGTTGCTTTAGTTTGAATGACTTTTGTTCAGCTACAAGAGCTTTGATCCAGGTAAAATTGTCTAGGATTACATTCTGTTAGGTAACAACCTGTGCAGTTTATGTCATTTCCACTCCATTGACCGTTCAGCAAACACGTTCTTGTGACATTTCCGATGAAGCTAGTGTAACCACTTTGGCAGGAATATCGGCAACCTGATCCATAAGTACTTCCACAGGAAGGGGTCAGCAAAAGGGATTTGGGTGGAGTCACCAGAGGGGGACAAATGACCGCTGACATGTAGAAAAGAAAAAGAAATTTTTTTACATACTTGTGATAGTTAAATGACATCTGATGCACTGCAAACAACGCAAAAAAAAAAAAAAATTGAAGACACAAAATGGCCAAATTATGCCAATCAGGTCTCCAGCCTAAACCATGCTTTACCATTTATTCATGCTCAGAAGGTCGCTTTTACCTGATATTTTAAGGTTTCCTTCAATTGACGTAATATAGTGTTAGCTCCTTTAACGTATCATACCGATTTGTCTTAAACGTTTCCACTTGTAGTTGAAGTTTGCTAGATCTTAAATTTCTTAGATGTCTTCTGTTTTGTGTTTAATTGTTTTCGCAAAGAGAAGGGATAACTTGCAGGATGGTAAGTCTGACCCGAAGAAACAATTTAAACTAGTATTGATTAACCAAAGGTTAGGAAGTGAAATTCAATCGCTGTGCTTTGCGTAAGCTTCGCTTGATAGAAGGTCAAAAGGCGCGTGATTAGATTGTGTTCTATGCGTTTTTTCTTTTTTCTTAGTGGAAGCCCAAACGAATGCTGGCTACATACTTACCGCACATGCGTAATAGCAATCTTTTATAGATTAGGACTGCAGGCTCCTTTGGTTGTCTTCAATTACTACAGTCTTGCCAAATTTCCCGCGTCATAAATTTAACGAAAGCTTATGCCGAATGCGCTAATAATATTCTTACCTTGGCAAACAAAATCTTGGCCACTCCAACTTCCGTTCTGAAGACATGTCCTAGATGAGGAGCCCAAACTGACTAAACCGGGATGACAGGAAAACTGGCAGACAGTGTTGTAGGTTTCTTTGGATGCCCCTGAGCATCCCTGACGGGTACCATTGTAAGGTGTTGGTAGGGCGGGACACGTGACAACTGAACGAAATATGTAGTGGACATTTATCCATCAGGTTAGTAGACTGCGAACCCGGGGGGATACTTTAGGAATTTTGGGGGACCCTGGAACCCTTAGCCTATACCAGAGCTAGTTCAGCAGAATTTTCCAACCCTATACTATACTTAACTCCCCAAATCTCCCCTATCCTAGAGTAGCTGTTTTCCAGGAACTACTGAGGTCACTAGTACAGTCTAGCCAAAACAAAACCGATTTGATTTTCTTATATTTTCGTGTGGCAATCCCGGTTTCCCTAGTCTAGACAGGAGCCCATCAAATGGAGCCTCCATCTCCATTAATTTCTTGAGTCAACCCTTTCCCGAGTAGATTTATAAATAGAACGGCTAGTTTCCCGCGAAAAGTGTCATATTTCCGTGGGTCTCGTGTGTCACCGTGAAAAAATAAAACTGGATGAAGTCGAACTCAGAAGCCCGCCCTTCGACCGTTTTCCTTTTTTCCTTTACGTCCATTTTTACAATTTTACAGCCGCTGGGATCTGGGTATCATGAAATAAAAGTTAATGAATTACCCCACTGAGACTAAGCATGAAGTGATGGGACAAAGACAGCGAACTGAGGATCACGGAAAGGTTATCTTTGCGAGTGTTTTTTTTTTTTGCCGTCATACATCCCACATTTAAGTATGCACCTTGGAAAGAGTCGACGATTAAGCGTTCTGTGGAAGATTTGGAACTTTTCGATGATTAGCGCCGAAAAAATTGCCAGAATCATTTGAGTTTTGTCATCACCGTGGAGTGGTTTTCGCCAGGTAACTGTTAAGCACCGCGTGCAAAGCAAAAGCGATGACCCAAGTAGCAACTAACGAGGAATGCTTCAGTTCCGAAATTTGAGAAATTGCAGTCTTCCATTACAACTGACTTGTATCATCATGAGAGTTGCCTGAGAAAACTGGCACTTGAAAAGTTGAACAGAAGACAACAGTTGCTCGACCGTGAAGCTAAATCAAAAGTAATTTGCTAACGGAGGAATTTGTGACATCGCGCTCCAGTCCAAAGACCCACTTATCTAAAGAAAAACAAAATGGATTGTATTTGCGCCAAAAGAATCATGACCGACTAACAGGACAATTCTCAGCAGTTAATGTAGAAGTTTAGGCTCAATTTCTTCCTTCGAATTCGCATCTGTAGATCACTTTTTTGCGAGAAAACAATTGGCTGGGCCCGGCGTTACAAAACATAGCAGGGAATCATCACACTAGCTGACGAACAAAACAACCACAAGGACTACAAGTATTTATTCATGATCAGATAAACCCACTGCGGAAAAAAAATTGAAAAACTAGAAATTTGATTAATATTGAGTCATTTAGCCGAAATAAGAACCTTAACGCGCAAAAAAATTGGCTAAAGGAAACGAATCCTGTCAGAACTACAGACTGCCGGTAGTAGTTAATCATTATGCATGTAACAGACCAGCTTCATGGCCTCTTAATGTGAGACAAGCAACCAAAATTAAGATTAACATAGTCAGAGTTTAAAACTCTCCACAGTATAATCTACCCCTAGAAAGAAAAAAAGAAAGTCTCTGAGGGATGAAAACGCTAAAGTCACGTTTCACTAGCTTATGATTGTGTTTGGCCTGTCAACACGGAATTTCCTGCTGTTTGATGAAGTATAATAGCAGTGTCATTTCGTCGTTGTGATTGGCTTCCCACCGTCGGCGCGCGAAGTCTCCCCTGGGAACTGTTCTAATTATAAATCTACTCGGGAAAGGGCTGACTCCAAGGGCTTGTATGAGAGATGGAGGCTCCATTTGATGGGCTCCTGGTCTAGACTAAAATCGGAAACCAAACTTTCTGATTTATGTACCCTATCCCAGAGTAAACTGCTTGAAAACCATGCCTTTCACAGCAGCACATACCCATATAGCCCATACATGGCAGTACCCCCGCCCCCTTCCCCGGGGCCTGCGAAGCAGTCATCTCTATTACCTGTTAGCCAAGCTAGAGAAACGCGGGAGACACTCGAGCAACCTCGCCCCCTCTGTGAGAAAACAGACTAAAACTGTGAAAGGCTTGAACCCAGGAGTCATTTCAAAAGTAGGTTGTGTTTGATCGTCCGGGTAAACGTAGTCCTGAACAGGACAGTTGTTGTTGACAGTGACTGACGTTTCGACAACCTGTGCTGCAGTCATCTTCAGAGTCAAAGTGAGTTTTATCACGGTTGATGGTATTATACTCTGGTTGTTGATCTGATTGGTCAATTATGTCGCGATGTTATTGGTCGTCTGTCAGTTAAGCCGTGATGTTATTGGCTAGGAAGACCCGTAAACAGTAATTGGTGCATTTCGATCCGTCTATTGTCACAGTTAAACAGTCGTCTATTGTTAGTCAAATTGTCAGTTCTCCAGTCTTTCTTTCGTAGTCAGTTTTTCTTGATCTCGTCAATAAGTCGTTTGTACGGTGCTGGTAATTGTTGGCTACGATTCAGTGGCGTTTGTTCTAAGTTAGTAAACCAGCTTTCTAAAGTAAGACATTGATAGTAATCTGTAGAATACGTTATACATGTCACAGAGTCCCAGTCAGTTTGATGTTTCGTCTGTGAATGATGCTCAGCAATGTGATTGTTGACGTCACCATTCCTCTTCGCTCGTTTGTGTACGGTCAGTCGCGTGCTAAGGTTTCTGCCGGTTTCAGCAATGTAAGAAGCCTGGCAGTCGCAGCATTTGATCTTGGACACTGCTCCCTATCTGTCCTCGGGTTTGTCTTTGTCCTTGACATTAGTAAGTAGTCGTCGTAAAGTGGTTATCGGTCTGTGTGCAACACGTATATTGTAAGGTTGTAATATACGTGCGATAGTTTCAGAGGTCCCCCTGATGTACGGTATAGTCACTGTCGTAACAGGACCAGAGTTGACGTTGGTCTGAGTGTTTGAATCAACTTTACTGTGAGTGTTCCGTCTAACAAAGTTCGCGTTGTAATTGTTCTTACTAAAAACGTTGTTAAGATAACTGTTGCAGTTAATTTTATATTTCAGTTAATTTTTATTTCTCTATTGTTTTTGAGAATGGTAATGTATGCTAATGAATTTTAAACAAAGGGGAAACAAAAATTAACTGAAATAAAGAATTAACTGCAACATAACCAGTCTCGTCTTGTAGGCTGTCAGGCGAGTCGCAAACTAGTTGCGCTGGTCTCGTCAAAGTCCGGATAGTAGTAGCCTTGTGAGAGGTCGGGACTGGTCTGGTAATCGGTCGGTATGTGTCACGGCTTAACTGACAGACGACCAATAACATCGCGACGTAATTGACCAATCAGATCAACAACCAGAGTATAATACCATCAACCGTGGTACAACTCACTTTGACTCTGAAGATGACTACCGGACAGGTTGTAGAAACGTCAGTCACTGTCAACGACAACAGTCCTATTTAGGACTACGTTCACCCGGACGATCAAACACAACCTACTTTAGAACAGACTAAGTTGCGGGGATTCAAGATTTCAGCTGGTCGTTACCAGGTCTTTACCTTCTGCTCTGTAAACTATGTTACCTCGACTTACCAGTGCAATGTGTTTGTAGTCCAGTCCAACTACCATCGCCTTGGCAAGTCCTGGTGCTTGCACCGCTCAGCAAATATCCCTGGTCACATGAGAATACACAGGATTGCCCCGGTAAATTGGAACAAGGCAACAAACTACCATGCATAGGTGTAAACAGTTGAGGACAGCGGTTCACTATTTAATGAAGAAAGGAGAACGCTTTATTAAATTCCAACTCCAAAGAGCCTTCCAGTCTCCTACTTTCATCACCTGTGATGGAGGGCCCTCTTTTCTGAGTACTGGGTGCGCTTCCCAACGTGTGAGACATGGAAACACTGTATACCTTGTAATATCCAGACTAATAATATTCCAGCATGCTTTCAAGAAAAAGTGGAATACGATTCTGAACTCTGAATTTTACAGAATGGTCAGCAAGCAACAAGCTTTAAGTCTTCTTATTGCTTTAAAAGCGTGCAATCACATGAAAACAGGGAACCGAGATTAGAAAGAACGACACTTTCAATATAACTCCCACTGTGGTAGTATTAAATGAACATAGCCCCTGATGCACCTAAGATAAACTGCACGTTAACTAAGTCTATCACGGTGTTTTAAGCAGAGATCAGAGCTGCTAGGGGATTGCGCAAAAAAAGAAAAGGAAAAAGAAAAAGAAAAAAAAACCCTAAAAAATACTAGTGTTTTTCGGGGTCATTCTTACCTCCTTGACATGTCGACGAGTCACCAGGTTTCAATTGTACCCCATCCGGACAGAAACACTGATGACCGTTTGGGTTTGGCAGGCAAATGTGACTGCAGCCTCCATTCAAATGAGAACAGTGGGTAGTTCCTGTGCGAATGCAAGATGCAAACAGGCGTGAATATTCAGGGTAAATACAAAACAAAGGTCGCTGACCCAGCTTGTAGTTTTAACAATGAACAGAACGTTTGGTTTCGCTCTTGGACATCGCAAACGTCAACTTTCTGGCTATAGTTAGTACTGGGGTCCCCTCTACAAACTATATTCTGGCAAAGAGAAACTGTTAACGACTTTTTTTTGTAAAATTTCTTCACTACTTTTCTCTTACGAAGTAGAGGACGATACTATAAGAGAGATGAAAAAATATATCGCTCTGAGAGGGTCTCAATAGCTTTAACCGTCAGCCGTCAAACAGCCTAAAAATTAACGACCAAACGTTAAAAAAGTCATTTTTACCGTCAACCGTCAAAAATGCAGATTAAGTTTTAAGGTATTTCAGATATCACTCTTTCAGCTGATCTTCCCTCCTGAAGAATCTCCAAACTAGAAAAACTAGTTCACATGTTCTCAAAAACACTTTTTCTAGATATTACAATACTTTGCAATCTGCTTATATCTGAAAATATTTCCAAATTTTATAAGTGAAAGGCCAAGACAACCTTCAAAACACAAAAGTTAATATTAAGTCATACAGAAGTTACTATTTACTTCAACTTTTAGACTACATTTCCACTTAATAATCGTGAACCGTCAAAAGCGCTGTAAAATTTAACCGTCAATCGTCAAAACTGGAAAAAATATCGCAAAGTCTTTGAGACGAGATTCACCGTTTTTAATGACGCTTCTTTTACCAGGGTACGTAATGTAGCTAATATTATTAAAAAGGTGCTATCTTCACTGAGTTGACTGATTGTTAGAAGTGGTATTTGTTGCTGAATGGACTGTGAATTACGCGTGGTTTTGTCTTTGTAAAGTAGTGAAAAGAGCAAAATTTCTAAGGGACACCCACCCGAAGTTGTGCTGCTTTTGTCATATATGTGGATTTCCATGGGTCTTCCCATTCCTTGGACCAGAACATCAGTGAGGGAAGACGTCATATTATAGCTATGAACACTTTTTTTAATCCAGTCTGTCCAGAACAGCGTATCCTCGAGTAAGGCGAGTCCGAAAGGATGATAACTATCTTTATTAGACGACAAATCCAGTATTAGCACGCGGCTATTCCCTTGAAAGTCCACTCTTTCAATTTTGTCGAGTTTTGCATCACACCAGTAGAGCAGCCTATTTTTGAAGTCCAAAGCGAGTGAGTTCACCCATGACAAGCCGGAACTAACCAGAACGGTCCTTGCTGTGCCATCCATGTTTGCTTGTTCGATCTTTGGTGAGGCTCCCCAGTCGCTCCAATACATCTTTCTAAAATAAAAATCAAGACAGACCAGAGAGGTCAAAAGAGAGATAAAGAATAAAGGGAACATTTCTTAAAAGGACGTTGGGAAACAAGTTATTATCTTATGGTGATTTCTGCGGCCGTTAGTCACGCATTTTTGAAGTTAAGGGTATTTTAGGGTTCATCCGCCATTTTGATTAAAATTAACTAGGTTACCTGTCATCTATGTCTGTTTATATTAAGGTTTGTTCTTTAGGATTCAATATTTAATAGCCGCTACTGTAAAAATTTGTTGTAAGTTTGTTAAAATTTTGACTTTCACATGCAAGAACAGCCTTTGCTATTTTATGAGGCCTATAGGGGCTTAAGTCAAAAAGATTTTCGCATAAATAAATAGCGAAGCCCTAACAGTACAAGGGAACAAAACAGACAGAGTTCCATAAAAGTTACAACTGCTTCCTCAGAAAAACCGGAAAATTTTTTAACATGTTTCCATTGACGCAAGTATATCTTTTACGTTGTATTCTCCATTAGTTGATCTTGATTACCTAGCATCGATGTCAAGGATCACAGCTCTAGGATTGTCCAAACCAGATGTTATGAGGCTAAATCTGTATGATCCGTCCAATCGTGCCACTTCAATCTTACTAGTTCGATAATCAGTCCAATAAACAATCCGTCCAATCCAGTCAACTGCTATTCCATCAGGATTTTGCACATTACGTTCCGCTATTACTTTAAGATCCGAACCATTGGGATACGATCTAACGATTTGCTGCAATGTCACGTCTGTCCAGTAGACCATGCCCTCAATCGGATCATAATCAACTGCAACTGGTCTGGATATGTTAGTTTTGATCCCCAGAGGAAGGCAAGGAGTGTCTGGTACAGCCAGGGGAACTTTGTAAATTTCTCCGCTATTTGCTTCAGCAAAAAGCATAAACCTGTCGGAGCTAAGCTTCCAAAAAAAATCTGAAAAAAGAAGAAATGGTGAGACAATCACAAGAGAATTCGTATCCTGAAATTTTCAGAATATTCATGAATATTTCTTTCCTATAAAAATGAGGAAACATGTGCTATAGGCGCTCTACCACAACCAATCATATTCTCTCACCATAATTGCAGCTTTTCCCATCAGGTTTGAGTACCACTCCTGTTGGACATGCGCACTGGTGACCTCCTTGCGGCGTAAGCAAGCACAAGTCACTGCAATTTCCATTGTTGATAGCACACGGATGAGACCCTGGTAAAGTTAGAGTCAATTAGTTACTACAGAATTAAAAACAGCTGTTTATGTACCCTGTACAATCATTTTTTAAACATATTTTCAGTTTTTGTAATTATTAATGCACAATCAACCTTTTCTGCTCATTAATGCACTACTTAGGGAGTCAAACTGTGTTTGCTTTTTGTTGTTATTTTTCGTTTGCCTAATAAAATATTTACAGTGCTGACACTCAAACCGGGACACTTTGAAGACGACGGTTTAATCACAACGTTTTCTGAAAACAAAAAATTCTCAAGGTCTTTTTTTGCAAATGGACCAATTAAATTCAAGGTTCCCACTTCGTAACCGTTGAAAACTTTAAATAAATGAATGTTATTGGTCAGTTTGCAAAAAAACAAACAAACAAACAAACAAACAAGCAAACAAAAAATTGAGAATCTTTTGTTTTTAGAGAATTTTGGGCTTTGTGATTAGACAATCTTGTTCCAAGTGTCCTGGTTGAGTGCCCGCACTGTAAAAAGGAAAAGAATTCAGAACGGATACGTAAATAAAGTTTGACTCCTTCATTTTCTGTAGGAGAGCGCCGGAAATCGAGCCTTCACCATTCTCTAATTGATAAAAATCGTAAATAACATTTAAAAGAGTAAGAGGTGCCGTTTAATTACAATAGTTGCTCGTGACGCGTTTTCTTAACTAAAAAACGATTTACCTGAAAATACACGAGATGAATCGTACAGGTGAATATCCATTGGCTTTTGAAGACCTTGAATGATTAATTTCGTCTTCCTACTGTTTAAATCGTACCGCGAGATGCTTTTACTGTTCCAGTCGGTCCAGTACAAAATGCTCTTATACACCGTCAAGCCAAATGGGTGAATGTCTGCTGAAGATGACATAATCACTCTTCTATTGCCACCGTTGAGGTTAGAAACCTCAATTTTGTCCAGTTTAGCATCCGCCCAGTACAGGAGGTTTGTAGTTGGATCAACAGTTAATCCATTCGGCCAACCAAGGTTTCCTGTTACAATGGCTCGTCTTGACGAGCCGTCCATGGCTGCTTGCTCAATCATTGGGTTGGATCCCCAGTCAGTCCAATACATCGTTCTTTATTAGTACAAACCAAAAATTAACAAGCTTTAATTTTAGTTTTCCGGAAACCATAGAGCTACCAGGTTTATAGATCTACATTTTTTGATAACGCTAATTTTGACATCTCATGAACCTCGCCCTGTGAATAAGCTAAGATCACTTAGCTTTAACTTAAAGAAAAAGTTAACTACAGCCGTATACTTTCTAGTCTTCCTTGCAACCGTGTTTCTCTTGTCACGCAACACTCCTCCCCTTGTGACATAGCCCCTTTAAGTTTTCGTATTGAAGAGCCTTGCTTGACGAGACAAAAACGGCTGCGAGAGAGACCAGCTATATCGTGTTACTCTTTTTCGATTTATAACTCACCCATTCCTTTCATCAAGTACAATTGCCCTGGGCTCATCGAGCCCATCTTTGATCAACAATTTCCTGCTTGTCCCATCCAGCCGAGCTACCTCAATACGATTTGTTCCTGTGTCTGTCCAGTAAATATTTCGCCCCACGTGGTCAATGGCCAGGCCATTTGGTACTTTTACATTGCAGCGAAAAAGAACCGTGAACTTCAGTGAAGTCTCATTAGAGACAATGCTGATAATTCGTCCTTGTGCAACATCAGTCCAGTATACACTGTCCTCAACAGGGTCGTAATCCACAGCAATCGGGCGTTGATTTCCAAGAAGCCAGAACACACGCCTTGCCACAAAATAGTTCACATCCAACGAAACAATGTCAGTAAACATGGCATCGGCGTCAGTAAAAATGAGGAATTTATCCATTTCTGCAAAGGGTAACACAAGTTAAATGTTTCATAAGTAGGTGGAGCATTATCGTCCGGGTTATCGTAGTCCTTAAGGTGACTAGACCCAGTTTTTTTGGAGGGGTACCATCCTACTTTGAAGCTCTCTGGTATCCCCACCTTTACTTTTTTATCGTAAGGCTAACACATAGAATGGATAACATATAGATCAATCTACAATATAACAGAAAATTTTTGGCGATCGGAGTAAATGTCACGTGGTTATAATGCCACGCTCCTTTGAGGTCTGAGTCGAAAATCTGCTGTTGCCGGCATTTGCCGTGCAATGACCGCGCTTGGCTGAATTCCGAATGCTCACCGAGATATGATAATTCAGTATGAGAAAATAGAAGGGATTCCCGTCACGAGTTGGTTTAATTATTGGCTTGCATTAAACTTATGAAAAAATGATATCTTTTTAATTGTAAGAAGATTTAGTGTGTAGCACTTCTTAATTTTTTTGCAAAGGCAAAAGAAGCACGAGAATTGATTAAAAATTGTTAGTTAAACCTCTATGTATCACGCGATGGCCTGCCTCACTGTACCAAAATTTTCACATCTCGGTGAGCATTCAGAAGTCAGCCAAGCGCGGTCAATGCACGCGTGCTGAACAAGAATGCTGTATAATGACAGACTAGAAAAAATAGACAACTCCCAAAGCACAAACTCAGCCAAAACGCTAAAAATCTTCAATGTTTACTCAAGTTTGGGCTTATAGAAGATAATGTCACAGTTTTTCAATGACCATGAAATTCAGAGTCCGGGTAGTTAGTTAATCAATTGTGGCCCTGAAAAAATGTGAAGGAAAAAAAAACTACGAATTTTATAATCGTGTAAAGTTTTCTTATCATTTTCGCATAAATTATGACCTAAATTTGGAAACCGCTGAATTTCTCGAATTGGGTCTTTGCGATTTTGATGAAACTCTGTTCAGCGCAAGGCACTAATGCGCTCTATGTCCAACCGAGAGATTTTCACGAAAAAATGCCGGCAACAGCAGATTTTTGACTCAGACTTCAAAGGGGCGTGCCATTATAACCACGTGACATTTACTCCGATTGCTAAAAATTTTCTGTTATATTGTAGATTGATCTATATGTTATCCATTCTATGTGTTAGACTTACGATAAAAGTAAAGGTGGGGATACCAGAGAGCTTCAAAGTAGGATGGTACCCCCCAAAAAAAACTGGGTCGAATCACCTTAATGGGACTGTTTTTGACAGTGTCTGAATTTTCTACAACCTGTGCGGTAGTCATCTTCAGCGGAGTCAAAGTGAGTTGTATTACGCCAGTTGGGATGGTATTAAACGCTGGTTATTGACCTGATTGGTCAATCAAGTTGCGATGTCATTGATCGACTGTTTGTTAAGTCGTCATGTTAAATGTTTATTTGCATTTCAAAACCCGACAAACTACTTTAAGAACAAAGGAAAAGGGAGTCGGCAAAGGTCTTTAGGCAAGTCACGAGTAACCTGTCACCTTAATTTTCTTAGGGTTGACATCTTTTTGTCTTTGACGTTATCGAGCCTCAAAGAAATTATGATTTTGTTTCTCTGTGTCCTTTTTTCTTCTTTATCTCCTATTCTCATATTTTTTTGTACATAATCACTGAAAACAGCAAATTCGATCGTTCTTGTTTTCATTAAAATACATTGTTTTATTCAAGCAATAATACCGTATTTCTTTCCAAGATCTCCCCTCGTGCACGCTCGTCCTTCTGTATGGTACTTTTGAACATGTACAAGACATCGCTGTTCCTAAGACTTACTAGTTAATAAAGGTACCAGAAGCGGATCCAAGAGAATTCTTGGCAGGAAATGTTTGGACCCAAATAAAACATGGCGGTCAACGGCCTGTTTACACGTTGCTGATAACGATGGTAAAATGAGTTGCAAAACGCCCTGTTGAATCGCGTTTGCCATGTGCTAGAAAACGTGAAATGAACAACATGTTTTTCTGGTGTTACAGCCGGTGAATGTTGAGTTGTCCCGGGAGTTTTCCATGTGTTATCCAAAGTCGGAGAAGGAGTCAGGAACATGATATTTTCACGACATTAACCGTTTGGTCAAAGTTTTGTTTAACGAGAGAAAACGAACTGTTCAACCCCGTTTTCCACGCGCTGGATAATCAGCATATTTTCCCCCTGTTAACTGATGGTGAATGCCAAGTTGTTCTTGCCTTTTCTGAAGTGGGAAACGAGTCACGGACGCCATGTTTTCCTTACATTAACCGTTTGGTAAAATTCCCGTTTAAAGAGAGAAAGCGCATTGTTCAACCTCGTTTTCCGTGTGCTGGAAAACATGAACTAAACAGCATATTTTCCTGGTGTTAACGGAATGTGAACGCCGAGTTTTCCTTGCGAATTTCGAAATGAGAAAACGGATCGTGAACTGAGGTGGCATTTTCAATACATTAACCGTCGGTAAAATTAACAGAAAATAGATGTTTTGCCGTGAGAAGGGGCGAGGAGGCTTGCCTGTTATACAGATACTATTTGCTGAGATCAAGAGTCCAGAATGCATTTGAAAGATTTTATAACAAGGGCTCTCACTCCCAGAAAATTCCAAAGGGGTTTATTGAGGGCTTCTATTCCTCCTATAAATCCTGTAGAATTAAATGATTGTGACGGAGGTCTTCGAAATCAGAGATATCTGAATCTACCTCTAAGAAGAAGAAGAAGAAGAAGAAGAAGGAGAAGGAGAAGGAGAAGGAGAAGAAGGAAAAGAAAAAGAAGGAGAAGAAAAGGAAGGAGAAGGAGAAGGATAAGGAGAAAGAGCAGGAGAAGGAGAAGGAGAAGAAGAGGAAGGAGAAGAAGGAGAAGAAGAAGAAGAAGAAGGAGAAAAAGGCGAAGCACAAGGAGAAGAAGAAGGAGAAGAAGGAGAAGGAGAAGAAGAAGAAGGAGAAGGAGAAGGACAAGAAGACGAAGACGAAGACGAAGACGAAGACGAAGACGAAGACGAAGACGAAGACGAAGACGAAGACGAAGACGAAGACGAAGACGAAGACGAAGACGAAGACGAAGACGAAAACAGCTCTAATACATCTCGAATGCATATTGAGAAGAATATTTTCTACTGCAGAGAGAACAGGAGCTGTTCTGATAGCCAAAGTAGCTGGAGACTTACTCTTTTTGCATGTCCTTCCATCTGCCTTCAATGACAAACCAACAGGACAGACGCACTCGTGGCCGGCTGAAGCTTTCACCACGCAAAAATGGCTGCAGCCGCCGTTGTTTGTAGCACAGGAACTTGAAACTTAAAAAAAAACGTAATAAAACATAAATGTGCAAGTAAAGACACTTCTAAGAAAGCAATAAGTGGTAAAGTTTGTTACTAATACTTGCGAAATTATCAGCCTACTCATTACGGCCTTCAGCGATTTAACTGTGCGACCGCGTTAAATCTCACAAAACAACGGTTTTTCCGGCCTTGCGGACACCCCGCTATAACGGACACTCTGATAAAACGGGACAGCAGCTAAATCCCAGTTAACAATAAATTACAGGCGTTTGACTGAAATAAAGTCCCGCTAATGAGGACACTAACTAAAGGCCCTTAAGAGCGGTTGTCAGTAAATATCGACCAGAGGTCTACAAAAGTGAAAAATCGAAAATTCTCAAAAAAATTCACAAAGTAGCACTAGGTAAGCGATTAACATAAATGTAATTTTTACTTCGATCCGATAATTATTTTCCACGTACGGGGGGTTTATTGGTTTCGCGGCTCTCGGACCGGGTTTTCCAGGCCCGAGACCATGTGTCACGAAAAAATCGTTTTAAAATTCAAATCCATTGTAATGTGGACAACAAATAACTTATTCAGAATAGTACTTAATTGCACACATTCTAAGTGGTGATTTATTCAGTTTGAACGAAAGTGTAATATTTTGGAGATTTTTCATTATTTTCAATATTTTGAACGTTTTCGTTCAATGAAAAAATGGCAAATTTCAAAGCGCAAAATCGTCGACTGGTACCTCGATTTCAGTAACGAGTCTTATACCACGTTAAAGAGCGTTATCTCTTCTTTCAAAATCTGTTTTCAAAACTACGGGCAACTTAAAAGAAAATTTTTGAGGCCAAAAAATACAAGTAGTACTTTTCTGAAATTTGAGCTTTCCAGACGCGGCGGGCCGATGCTAAAAACTTGGAAAAATACAGTAAGAAATCAGTTTGAGCAATACTGGTTTCATGTTATCAGCTTTCAGAAACCAAGATGTGTTTATACAGCAATCTGATATAAATTAATGCCGTTTGCTATCAAGAAAGGCAGATTTAAGCTGTCAACTCCTGCCAAGTGCACCAGTCACGTGAAGTTGTCAAAGGGAGGGCAAAGCACTAATATTAAAAAGTCTTAAAATTCAAAACGTTTTACGTCCATGAAATCAGATTTTAGCGTACAAAACAATGTTTTGAATGTCTGTTGTTCGTACCTTAGCATGGTGTTTCCATATATTGGAAATGTCAAGTATCCACACGGGAGAACATACCAAACAACAACGTTTCAAATCCAAGCGCCGAAAGATCGTAAACGGCAAAGATTGCGTTACATTTCACAGAACGACCGCTTACCACTGTTGTCACTCCTTTTTTCGCTGGAAGCTATGAGGAGTTTTCATTCCGTCATGAGTGATTCTTGATCAGCGTTTCCTTGAAAGTACGACCCCGGACAGGTGATAACTGAGGACGTTTCGTCAAGACTCCTGTTGTTCAGTTTCAGGCTTTAGCAGGTACGTAGTCAGGATTTTTCCGGAGGTACGCCCAACTTTTTCTACATCTTCTTCCCCCTCCCCCCCACCAACAACAACAACAACAACAACAAATTTTATTGAAAATTGGAAAATAACTAATTACATTACTTTCCCACCCGCAAATAGCTTATGAACTAATCGAGGCGGGGGGAGCTGAAGACATATTACAAAACAAGATTTATATATATGTGGACTAAATAACAGTGAAGACACTACAATACAGTAAATAGAATTTAAACTAACATAAAACAAGGCAAATCACCACCCCAAATCTCAACATTTTTTTAAGGTGCCTTTATTAAAGGTGGGGTTAACAAGATTTATATATATATGGACTAAATAACAGTGAAAACACTACAATACAGTAAATAGAATTTAAACTAACATAAAACAAGGCAAATCACCACCCCAAATCTCAACATTTTTTTAAGGTGCCTTTATTAAAGGTGGGGTTAACGGTTGTAAGCAAAAGCATTTTTGCTGTTTATGAAATGACACAACCTCTAAAATTCTTTAATTCTGTCGGCTTGTTATGTTCATTGACGTCAACCGTTTATCATTAATTCAGCTATTAAAAATCAAGCTTGTAGCACCTCCGACTTTAGTTTACAAATGACTCTTTTTACCTCTTTTTGTCACATTATTTTTGACCGACAAAAGCACCACACATTGACGTAATTGTGCCCTACTTCGTCTACTCCGAAGACAGGTCGTGGAGAAAACAACGCGTTCACGCTTTACATCATCAAGCTTGCTATATAAATAAATCATCCAAGATCCGGTTCTCCAATTAATGTCGTCGCTTCTCTGGAAACCGATTTTTTTTTTAGTTATGTTTATTTTATTCTATTTTTTTTCCTCAACGTTTTCGGGTACGCACATGCAAACCGTGCGTACAAGTAGCTACGCCCCTGTTTAGTCTCCTTAGTCCTGAGCGTTCCTCTCTTGCGGTTTTCGCGGGAGTTCAGGATGTGGTCCACCCAGTATTTCACGTCTCTTTTAAATGAGAGGCAGCACTTCTTGTTTACCGTTTCGTTATCAGACAGCGCTTAGGCTCTTAGCCTTTCATTTAATTTTGATCAAATTTTTATCATTTAGTTACTCAGTATATGTTCGATGCTGTCCTTGTAAACGTATACTTTTATACTTTAAGGGAGCTTAAGGTATCAGCCACCCTTAAAATTGCCATTTTTCCATATTTGAGGTTTCAACATTTTCAAATAGGTATGCTTGAGAGCTTTCTTTTAAAAAAAAATCAGAAGAAAATATTATTTCTGTCGAAAGATATCGGGGGTAAAAGATTTTTTCTCGTTAATTATCTTAATTGATCGTTGACAAGATCTGTCATACCCGTGTCATATATCAGTTACCGAGTGCGTGCTTCAATACAACACGTGCGAATTGTCTTTGGGTTGTTATTTTAGCCTTTAGTATTAATCTCCGTGGATATTTAGCGTTTGCTTCGGTAAAAATGCCGCCAAAAAAAAAAGAAAAGGTCGTGTCCGTTTTCGTCATCGAAACCGAGAGCGAGAAAGAAATCGAAGAGCGAGTTTGACAAAGAATGGGCTCATTTTATCAGCAAGAGAAGTGGCTCGAGGAGTTGGATATTCAGAAAAGCAAAAAGGCTGCAGTTACTGAGAGTGCAAGCTGCTCCAAAATCCAGCTTGAAGAACCAGATGAAGAAAGCCAATTAAGCTCATCGACCCCATCTGCTGATGGAACGTGGAAAACAATAAGCGGTCGAGCTATTGTATCGAGCGAAACTGGACGAGTCTGTATCTTGTCGATTTTGCCAGGGAAGAGTCCAAGTCATGGAAAATGTAGCGACTAAGCATGGACTTGGTTCTACCTGGAGAATCCAGGGCGAGAATGAAAGCTGTCCGTCGCACAAGACAAATTCTGTTTTTAATTCTTCCGAGAAGAGCAGAGCGTTTGAAATAAACCGGGCCTCAGTTCTTGGCCTTCGAGCAATCGGTGGTGGACATTCGGCGGCTTCAAAGTTTTTTAGTTTCCTTGGCCTGGCGCCGATCAACAAAAATGCCTGGGCGGATCATACAAAAAAGATCGAAGGAGAGGCAAAACTTTTGCTCGAGAAAGAATTAAACCGTGCTTCTCGTGGTGTAAAAGAGTGGAAGTTTTCCAACGGAGAATTAAACTGTTCACTTGCTTGCCGCGAAAGTTTGTTCCTGTTACACGTTACCTGTCAAAGACCTATTGTTAGAGAAAATTAATCCCTCTCTGATATCAATCAGAACAAACATTTAGGTGTTATAATCTCATTCCAGGTAGGATGCCGCCAAAAATGTATTTTCTATTTTATCTCTGAACGCAAATTTTGCCGGTCGACTCGTACGTTTTGAACTCCAAGTCGGCAGCCTTTCAATCAATTTGGCTAAAATTTGGCCAGAGTGATGCCATATATCTTTTCTACAAAACCGTGTCTGCGAATTTTGATACTCCTTTTCATTTTAAAGCTAGAGCTTTTTTTCCACAGGGAGTGTTGACTAATTGCCTTCCCCAACTTCATTTGCTAATAAAAGAAAAACAAACGCACTTGTCAAAAATCTGAGACACGGTTTTTTAGTGGAACGTGTTGAGAAGCGAATGCGGTGTTAATTGTTTTCTTCCGTTTATTTCCGGCGCGAGTGGAACATGATTTATAGAGACGTGTACTTTTACACAAAGCGTTCCAATTTCGAAACACATTTAAGTAAATCGTTTTTGTTAGTTCAAATCCATAATCTGGAATTATTAAGCTTTTAAAAAATATATGGTTTATAGGGGTTTTTATAAAAACAACTAACGCTACAGCGATCCTCGCGCGGACTGTCCTGAAGGGTGGCTGATACCTTAATACCGATGTTATTTTTTTCTTCGTTTAGTGTTGTCCAAAAGACCCAGTTTTTTGGCATTTTTTAAAAAAGCAAGAAAAAGAAACGACAAGGTTTATTTTTTTGGACTTAGATTAATTCTTTTAATCTAAAAAATTAGCATTATAACATCATTTCGAGGCATAAAACGTTCGGTGGTGTATCCTCTTTGCTTTTTACCCTTTTTGGGCCTTTTTTTATGAAATTGCCCATCAAATTTTCCGCCATATTGAGTTTGTGTCGATTTGGTGACCATGTCTTGTTGTTTTCAGTCTCCACGGTAATGATGCTGGTGTTTCAGGCCTCCCGTTCTCAGATTTCTTGTGATTTTTTTTTTCACCCCACCGACCGACCCACCCAAAACCAGGAAACCTATTCGACGCTAAACGAACGAAAAGGGGATGACCTAAGCCTTATGGTTTCTTTTTGGGCTTCCTCACCACATTGCTTCTGCGTGTTTCTGTATACTTGTCTTTTGCTTTGTTTTGTTCTTTTTTGTCGGTAAAATAAACTGAAACTGTACAAAGACCCTCAATATTAAATTCCCTTTGGAGGTTCTCGAACGCGCAATGAAAAAAATGAAAAACGCGATGATTTATTGACCGCAAGGGTAATGGGGTGGGGTTAGGGCTCGTTACTGCGCTCCGGTTCACTCGTACGCTGTCAAATGGTCCCGAAATACAAAATGAAAAATGTCTGTGGACAGACTATTCACTTCTAGACATCAAGCATCTTTTAAGATGGGACTTATCGCCTTTCTCTGTTCATGGAGTTGATTCAAAGTGTTGACGTTAATTTCGTGATGCCCTGCATGTTGCCTGGAGATGTTTCAAAAGGGCCTTTCCAAAGGTACGGAGTCCTCCGTCACCTTGTCAACCGTGCGAGAAATGATGTACTTCACAAAAACAAAGAGAAGTTATTTTCGATTTGCCCCGCCCCCTACCCCCGAAAGTCCCCGACAGGACCGCTTCAAAGTACTCCCCATGTGGTTGCGCGGGGGATAGTAACAGGTCTACCTAATTGCACCGTGCATTAATGACAGTTTAGCTCAATCAGAAGCTCCTTTTCCCTGGCTAGGTCTAGGTGTGTGCACCTGCTTTAAGCTGTTGTTTTCAGTTCTTACTGAAATTTTTGATTTTGAGGAAATTCAAAACGACAGGAGCAGGTTATGGGCTTTTTTCCTAGCCCTAATCCTACATCACGGGAAATCCCTCAGGTTAGGCAAGAATTCGATAATCCTTCCATAATCATCCATTTTTTCACCGCGTGAATTGGGTATTTTTAGCTTATTTCGAGGAAACACTTTTTGCTTCAAATCCAGGGTGGGCTTTTAAACACATTTTTTAAGCCAAATGGTTTTTGCGAGAATCTGCTTACCCGAGCTTTTCGCATAAAAAACGACAAATACCCGAAAAAAGCTCATGTTGTTGTTGGTGGTGGCATATTTCCGATAAATTCAGCTCAATGTCTCGAGAAGAAGAGTTCAGATCCGTGCCGCGCGCCTCTCGAGGCAAGCGTTCCGTCGAAATGCGAGCCCAAAAACAGGTGGTAAGCGGTCAATCTGTGAAAAGTAACGCAATCTCCGTCGTTTGAGAGCAGCCGAAGATGCTCTTGTCGATGCTGTCCTTGATGTTTTTTATTTCCAGTATCTAGGAAACCCATGCTAAGGTATGAAACATACACTCGTAGGCATTGTTCTGTCCGCTAAAGTCTAATTCCTGGACGCAGAAACGTTGTGCTTTTTGAAGTTGATTATTGTGCTTTGCCCTTTGACAACCTTGCGTCACTCGTGCGTTTGGTAGCAGAAGATGGCTAAACTCTGCTTTTCTTGTTGGAAAACGGCTTTAAATTTTATCAGATCGCTCGATAAACACGTGTTGGTTTCTGATAGCTGATAACGTTAAATCACTGTTGCTCAAACTGATTTCTTATTGCATTTTTCTGAGTTTTTAGCATCGACCCGCTGAGTCTGGAAAGCTCAAATTTCAGAAAAGTACTACTAGTATTTTTTGGCCTCAAACATTTTCTTTTAAGTTGCCCGTAGTTTTGAAAACAGATTTTGAAAGAAGAGATAACGCTCTTTAACGTGGTATAAGACTCGTTACTGAAATCGAGGTACCAGTCGACTATTTTGCGCTTTGAAATTTGCCATTTTTTCATTGAACGAAAACGTTCAAAATATTGAAAATAATGAAAAATTTCCAAAATATTACATTTTCGTTCAAACTGAATAAATCACCACTTAGAATGTGTGCAATTAAGTACTCTTCTGAATAAGTTATTTGTTGTCCACATTACAATGGATTTGAATTTTAAAACGATTTTTTTGCGACACATGGTCTCGGGCCTGGAAAACCCGGTCCGAGAGCCGCAAAACCAATAACCCCCCCGTACGTGAAAAATAATTATCGGATCGAAGTAAAAATTACATTTATGTTAATAGCTTACCTAGTGCTACTTTGTGAATTTTTTTGAGAATTTTCGATTTTTCACTTTTGTAGACCTCTGGTCGATATTTACTGACATCCGCTCTTAAGGTGTCCGCTATGAAGAGAGTTGACTATACAGCGCCAGATATTTCCGAAAGCGTGCTGTATTTTAACAACGTATGATCATTTTTTTTTTCATCGTCTGATGTTTGGAGAGAAATGAAATGAAAGAGAGAGACATCCACCCGCACCCCCTAACCCCCCTCTAAAAAAAAATAGAAATAAATAAATAATGCTTACACATACACGCATACACTGGCGTTTCTATAACAACCAGTAATGTTTTTAATGGCGTACCAGTTCAAGTGATCGTGCTCCGAAATACGAATAAATGGAATAAACTCTAGCTAGCTTATTCACAACCGTGGGTTTAAATATTTCCAGCGTACGGTCTCAACAGGGCATGCGCATTCCATTTTAAACGAAACCGGTTTTGAAAACCAGTGAGTTTCGACCACAAATATGATCGGCGGCTACGTGAAAGAACGCGCCGTGGGGCGGCAGAGGTCTCTCTCCTTCATCTCATTTAACTCTTGCCTTGAGATCCCTCTGCTGGCTTGGAAATGGGAACTGGGAACTTTTAAACGATGGAATATGTAAAAGTCTAAAACCTTACCACTGGTAATTATAAAAGACGAATATATATACATATATATAAATTGCACTCGAGAGAATGGTCTTCAAACATAAATTGCTTTAATTTAAACCCAACGCTTGTCGGCTTCTGGCTTCATCAGGGGTTTCTGCTTCGGGTATAATTACAAATGATTAGAGTAGCTTACTGTGACGTAATAAAGAGGGTTACAACTTGGTGTTACGGTGCACGAATTTATGCGAATTAGTATATGCCAATGTCTATGTCATATAATGAAAGTATCATGGAGTCATGGTTTCATAGGTTTCCTGGTGTCAATAGTTTCATCATGTGCATATACTAATTAGCATAAATTCGTGCATCGTAACACCAAATAATAACCAAAGAGAGTGATTTAGTAATCACGTGCCAATCAGTTTTGGACTTAGGGATACGTTTATTCAGTCCAGTAGGTTGCAAAGTTTTTAGCCTACTTTGCCAAAATATTTCCTTTTTGCGGAGTAATTTTTTTTTCCGTTCAACAGTCATATCAATATGTTTTATTTGCTATAAATATAGAGAGAGCCCCCTTGATGCAAACTTTAGCTTGGGAATATAAAACCAAAATAGTCAGAGATGGTCGTAGCCAGAGTTATCTCAACTACGAAAAACAAATCAAAACAGAAAAAAAGAAAAAGAGTTTGCCTCTTTAGCTAGCTGCGCAAGCCCTTTTGGCTTTCTCATCAATGTATGACTACAAGTTGGGCTTAAAAGAAAACCCCCTTAAGATAAGAGGATGAATACTGTGATAGATTGGGGCACAATTTGATTTTACCTGGAGGTTGAGAGTCCCATAAAGTGCAAAAGATACGAGGTTGAATACAATGTAAGTTTGGGACACGATTCACTTTACCTGGAGGCTGCCTGGAACGGTCATATGCAACGATGCCCATTGGTCTACCGGTGAAGCTGACTCTGCTGACAACAAAGTACCCAGTCATTGCGTCAACTTGGTGAATCTGGCCGTTTGAAGCCCAGTCAGTGAAAAACAGGAAAGGAGGAATGATGGCTACTCCAAAACCATGAAAATTAGTTATTGGCCCAAGCAGTTTCCTGTTATTACCATTGTAATCGACAGATTCTATTCGATCCACAGCTCCATCTACCCAATAAATGCGATTATTCCATCTATCAAGCTCGATCCCATTCGGCCACTTGATGTTTGAAGTGACTATAGCAACTCTCTGACTCCCTGTTAAGGCTGCTTTTTCGATTTTGGGGCTCGAACCCCAATCTGTCCAAATCATCAGCCTGTCAATTTATAGAAGATATAATTGTTCATCTGCCAGTACATAATACTGCATGTTAAACCATCACAGAAAAAAATGAATCAACAAGTTGTTGTCTTTTTACTATTATCATTAAAATCATAATCATCATCACCATCGTTACAATCATCGTCATCGTCATCATCATCATCATTATTATTATTATTATTAGAATGATGATGTGAACTGCGGAAATACACATTTAAATGAAGCAGGAGGAGGGGCCATCTCATGTGTGACTAACGGGCGACAGCCGTCGGGTCGCTTGTCCAAATTTGCAAGGGACACAATAGTCATTCCAACAAGACCGGTCAGAGAGGTCGGGGAAAAGATTAAATGAGCTAGGCAAAAATTGCTATACATTGCTAATTTGATCACTATAAAGTGTGTGAGCTTTGTTGTCGCTTTTATTTGCTTGCCATAAACCGTCTTGGTATTTTGTGTCCGTAATTGTGTAATTTTGTTAATTTTGTGTCGCGAGCCGTGTTGCAGGATTGCCATCTTCTTTCAGTTACGGGACCATCAAGTGCATAAAAAACTATTTCTGATCATTTTTTCTCTAAAATTGGCTATGTCTAGTCTCCAGAATAGGAGGTTCTATTAAGAGCATCGATCAGTCGGCCTTTTGAATCTGAAACAATGCGAAATAACCTCGAAATACGAGTTTAAGCTATTTTAATTTTTTCATTTGTATCTTTGAATTCATGATAACTACAGCTCAACCAGCTTCAAACGGCGTCCATGGCAGACAAAAGTGGTTTTAAAATAACAAATTGAAAGCTGAAATTAGGGACTCTAAGCAAGAAGACTAAGGAAAGTTCTAGTATGATGTCCGGAAGTAATTTTTTTCTCCACCGGTCAGTGCCTCAAGTCAGGGAGTTTAAGATACCACGACGACTATATAGCGGTGAAAATGTCGCTTAAAATCGCGATAATTCCAATTAACTCGCGTACTTTGTCAAATGTTGGTGAACTCTACTGAGGTTGAAGCCGTGCAGTGACCCCCCCCCCTCCCACGGTAAGGAAATGGTGAAAAAAAAACCCTCATAAAAAAACGATGCATGGGCAAATTCAGGGATTGTTTGTGTTTTATAAGTCTCATTCACAGCACTTGGTGAGATGTATCCCTTATGAAATCCTCTTTCCCGTCAACTGTGTTTTGGGTATTTAGCTGTATTTTTCACTTGGGTGTCGTGCTTGACACCGGAATTTGGTGCTCATAATCGAAAAATGAGCCTTCAGCAATTTCCAAGGAAGACCAAAAAGGTATAAAATGGGTAAATCTTGCGATTCTGTTTCAAATATACAGTGGCGTTCTAAGCACGTAAAATGCAACTAAATACTTAACGGACGAGACATTACGGCCGCCATGATCTTCTACGTATTCGGGAAGCGTAGTACGGCCAGTCAATAAGTTTGATTAGCAAATCAAGAACTTTGCCCGTGCCTCGTATTGCTTTATCAACATTTCTTTGCCATCAATGCTCGACGACGAGGTGAAAATGCCTAATTTCACGTTTTATTGAGGACGTAAACAAACAAAGACGAACTTTTCTCCTCTACGAGTTTGCCTACATTTGGCAAAATAAATAACTTGTAATAATAGCGAAATGTTTGAGAGAATGCCAATTCACTTTTTATGAAAAAGCGACGTTTTGACTGCTGTCGCAGCCGTGGTTCCTTGAACTTGAGGCATTGACGCGTGGCTGGAAAAAATACTTCTGGTCACCGTACTAGACCCTTATAGACTTCACCAAAACGGATTGGCACCGTGGGGTGGTGGACTAATTTTTTATGCCCTTGCTGGTCCCGTTAAGAGGATTCCTTCCCGCAACTCGGCCCAATTAACAAAATTACACAATTACGGACACAAAATACCAAGATGGTTTACACAAGCAGATATATAAAAGAAAACAACGAAGCTCACTCATTAACTACGTATACCAATTATTCACCGAAGTGGAGGTGAATAATTGTTTTAGTATATACTAAAACAGTGAGATAATTGAACACAAAATGATGATTTTTAACTCATTTACTGTTGCCAACGATTACAATTTTGGCGGGCGATGACCGAACGGCCGCGGTCGTCGCTTTTTCTTAGCGACAAATAAAACTTTTGAAGGCGTTTGTTTAGCTCTTGCGGGGAAGTTTCTTCAAAAGGAGTTGTGAATTCTGTTTGTATTTAAAATAATTCTGTAAAAAAGATTATTAAATTTAGTTTTAAGCTTATTTATGAACAAGTCAACTAAATAAAGTAACGCAAGACTTAAGCTTAATTTGCATTTGTAAACAAAAAACTTTTTCACCGGTTTTATCGATAACTATTCAAGTCAAAAAGACAAAGCTTTACCTGTTAAAACTTCCAAACCGAACTTCGTCACCTTCTTCATGTATTTCGGAAATAGCTTGCTTGATTAGTTGTGAAATTTCTTAGTTTGTTACGGCAGCAAACCGGGAAAGCATTTTGCTCGCAACCTACGCGAGGTTGGCGTCGCTCGCTCTGAGGAACTGGAGGTGAATCAGTGAATAGTGCAGGATATTCACTGATTGAGTACTGTTTTAGTATATACTAAATAGCAATATTTGCCACGCTTTTAATCTTTTCCCCGCCCTCTTTTGTTCGAATGACTATGGTGTCCCTTGCAAATTTGCACGAGCGACCCAACGGCTGTCGCCCGATAGTATGTGACGTCACACCGGCAGTAATGAATCGGTCACAGACAAACACTTGAAAACAATAGAGATGGCCTCTCCCTCCTAAAATGAAGTTATGATCGTCGCAGTGGTAATTGCAATTTAAGCAATTAACCACTACAGAAAATATCAGAACATACCATAATGCTCTTTGTTTGTCACCCTAAAATTTTTCATAAGTATTGTCTTTAGTTTCTCTTGGGAGCTAAAACGGCCCCAAGAGAAACTGAAAACAATGCTTATGTAAAATTTTGGGGAGAAAAAACAAAGAGCATTATGGTATGTTATGGTATTTTCTGCAATGGTCAATTGCAAATTAACTGGAAAAAAGAAATTTCGGGACTTCAACGGGATTCGAACCCATGGCCTCTGAAAGCGCTTCAGAACTCTAACCAATTGAGTTATGAAGACCCACGCATTGGGAGCAGGCTAATTTGTTGACTTCATCTTCAGCGGTGAAAGGAACGAAACATAGAATGATGATGTGAACTGCGGAAATACAAATTTCTTATTCATATTATTATTTATTCATTTATTTTTACCAAAATTATCAATCAGTTTCAGGGACACCGTTAAATGTTTGCAATTTTTTCAGGCTTAAGATAGTCCACTTAAAAGCGAATAATCGGTCTAATCTAGTCATTGCGGCCGTTGACAAAACAGGATGAGCAAAAGAAAAACAGACTTGAGGAAACTCACCCCTTATCAGGATCTAGAGCGATATCTCTAGGTTTATTAAGTCCCAAGGATAGCACTGTTTGCTGGTTATTACCCGAAAGGTCAGATTTGGATATCGTATCTTGAGTATAATCAGTCCAGTACAATTCTGATGTTATCCATTGAACTGCCAATCCATCGCAAACACCAACATTGGTGATAATTGTCGTGATACTGGACCCGTCAATACCTGAACGTTTTATGTTCCGCTCAGAAACATCACTCCAGAAAATGTAACGCTTTTCAAAATGAACATCAAGTGCCACAGCTCTGGTTAATCCAGTGACCACAGAATGTACAGCAGACGTTTTGTAGTCGACGGCGATGATATCGGTAGTGTTGGAAAACAGAAAACATGGAGGACTACATATGGCGGCTACAAGAAAAAATATCCACGTTCACTATTGACTGTTACAGAGAGATGATACTAATGCATTACAAACCAGTTAAGTTAGAATTTATTCCTTTGCTTAACATACACTTAAAGGAGCTATGTCACGCCCCTATTTCCCCTCTTTTTAAAAAGCTGAAATGTGCCCTCAGATCAACTATGGGAAACAGTCCGCTGAGAGACCCGCTCAACTCGAAGCATCCAATGGAGACCACATGCTTCAGTAAGGTGGACACTAAGAAGGAATTTATCAGGTCTAGGTGCTCTACTCAAATGATGCTTTAAAGGTCTGTCAGTCCTTCTTTTAACGTATTAGTATTTCACTCCTATGGAATGGATAAGACAAGGCCGAAAAATCAATGGAAGGATGGCGTCTTGCACTCAAGGAGGAGAACTTGAGGACTTGCGATCACAGAAGCCGTTTAGCCGAACTTGACTTACAAGACTAGGCGATTTGCAATTTTAGAACTGAAGTTTGGGAAATACCCTATCGCACTCTGTTGTTTGGGGGTATTTTTACGTTTTTATGCGGTTTTGCGGTTTTTGTAACACCTTACGCACCCCCTTCACATAGGAGAGAACAGGATCTTATTCTCGGCTTGCACTGTCACGCAATAAAAAATAAAAATGTAAACCATTCAATACAGAAGGACTAGAATATGGGAAATGAAAAAAGATAAATATACAAAAACCCTTGCCAAGAGTCAGGTCTGTGAAATATTTCAAATGCGAGATATTCTCGGCTTGCACTGTCACGCAATGAAAAATAAAAATGCAAACCATTCAATGCAGAAGGACTAGAATCTAGGAAATGAAAAAAGATAAATATACAAAAACCCTTGCCAAGAATCAGGTCTGTCAAATATTTCAAATGCGAGATATTGGGAAAAACGGTTTACCTAAATTTATAAAGCTTTGTATGGAAACGCCATGTTGGTGTCCCTTTCAGGAACACCAATATGGCCGCCGGATACCAACAGAAACATCTGTTTTCAAGTTTTCCTACTAATGCGTGAATTCTTCGCTTGAGGAACTCATAAAGATTACAGTAATATTTATTCTCAGACAAGGAATGTTTAGATTGCAAAATCTCCTAAAATCGGTAATGTTTTTAACCCACATAAGAGCTTTCCCGGCTGCCAGCTAAAAGCCGCTTCACGCAAAAGCCTGGAAATTCAAGCGTCCTCTCTCGCAAAACGAAGAACCCTTTCGAACCAAAAATTTGTTTATGTAAAGATGTTTAGGTACTGTAATACCTCGTGAAAGTAGAAACTCAGAAGAATCGATAGTTTCTAAGTTTGATTTTTGGTGACGTCACGTGCAACCCAAGAATTGGGAAAAACGGTTTACCTAAATTTATAAAGCTTCCCTTTGTATGGAAACGCCATGTTGGTGTCCCTTTCAGGAACACCAATATGGCCGCCGGATACCAAAAGAAACATCTGTTTTCGAGTTTTCCTACTAACGCGTGAATTCTTAGCTTGAGAAACTCATAAAGATTACAGTATTATTTATCCTGAGACAAGGAATGTTTAGATTGCAAAATCTCCCAAAATCGGTAATGTTTTTATCTCACATAAGAGCTTTCCCTGCCGCCAGCTAAATGCCGCGTCACGCAAAAGCCTGGAAATTCAAGTGTCCTCTCTCGCAAAACGAAGAACCCTTTCGAACCAAAAATTTGTTTATGTAGAGGTGTTTAAGTACTGTAATACCTCGTGAAAGTAGAAACTCAGAAGAATTGATAGTTTCTTAGTTTGATTTTTGGTGACGTCACGTGCGACCCAAGAGTTAAATCATAGCGAGAAAGCTCACTTGGGGTTCCCCAGGGGTACGGGGTTGGGGGAGGGAACAGGGGAAGGTCCTCCTTTTCCAACCCGCCGCCAGAGCGCCCCGGTAGAGCTTGCTCGCAGGGAAAAATCAATCTGATACAGCTGATTTGAGTGAATTTTTTACATGCATGTTTGTGTCTGAAAGCAGTCTTAACTTCTTACTAGGTCAGTAACAATTCAAATGCTTTACCTCCATAACTGCTTGCAGTTTTTTCCAGGATAAACGTTAGTAGAGAAAACGCACCTATCCACTTGAACAGACGTTTTATAGAACTCATGATCAGTGAAAACACTCAAGGCTGAAGGAAACATAAAACACATGAAAATGTTATATAAGTACCCCCGTAATAAATAATAGGCAATATTGTCTCTTGCAAATATAGACTATTTACAATTTGTTTCTCAATCAAACTAGTGATGTCTCTAGTAAGATAGAAAGCGGCGAAGATCCTTTCTACCAAAATGGGAGACTTTCAACAGTCGAATGCAAAAATAAAAACAAAACAAAACAAAACAAAAAAGCAAAAACTGTACACAAGCAGGTAGAAGTAAAACCAGTCGCTCCCCGTCACAGCCGTTAATTGTCTCGTTACGCATCCACAACGCTCCTGACAAAGGAACTAGCAAAATTACACTGTGCGACGAACTTCTAACCATTGTGGGCGAGGTTATTGGATTTCTGTTTTAATTTGAAATCCACTACTCAATACGCACGGGTAAATATCACTGATTGCCGTAGACAGGCACGAGTATTCTGAAATCACGAATTATATCACAAACCTTTCAGTTGAAAGGGGTGTTGTACAGTGAAAGCCTTCTACCAGTTTTAGATAGACGGCGACCAGATAAACGTAAGAACTATTTACGGTGGAATGTTGGCGTTTACAAAAACTAAGCGGTAGGTTAAACCCCCTCGGTACTTTCTGTTTCGATTTCGATTCGATTTTTTTTACAGAAGGGGACTTACCTTAAGCAGATTAATTGTTTAATTGTTGCTTAAAACAAAATATCAATTACAAAACTAGCCTACGAAAACAGAGGTTTCTCCTCGCTCATCGCCGCTGGGGAACGCAAGGAGAAAGGTGTGTTTTCGTAGGTTATTACAAAACATAATTTTAAAAAGTTTTGATTTTTTCCGATTATTTGGAACTGTTTAGGTACTGAGCATCTAAACAGAGAACTAAACGGTAAAGTGTCGAAACAAGGCATCGAAAGGAATTTTTCAAATCTTTTTAGCACAAAAGAACAAAACAGACATATGCATTTTGGACATTTGCAAAGTAGTTACGTACGTACGAGCAATGAATCCCTTGTGACTTGCGAGGCTAGGTAACGAGTAACACAATCCCGCCCCTGCTACGGGGCTAAAAGAAGGAGTCCAAAGATTCTCTTTCTTATTAGTTTTTACGGAATAATTTCAACACTTCAACATGCCCTACATGTTCTCCGTTTCTTTTTGTTTCTCAAAATTGTCTTGTTTCGATTTCGTTAATTACCTTTTCCGGTTTGCCCGTACACCTTAAAAGTCCGGAAAGACAACCTAGATCTGTGACCCCTTTTCAGCGCTGCAAAACAAACAAACTTGAAAGATGCTGTCAAAAGCTGAATTCTTTCTATGGGTGCAAAGTTAAAAATACCACCAGCGTATATTACTGATTGCACGCAAAAGAAAAGGTAGGTTAACATTAGAATTTGGAGGACGTCTATTTGAAACTATTTATCTGCGCAAGTGTTATAGACAGAGACTTAAACAATCATTGTCAAATACAGATTTTGCAACGTCCTCTAAATTTTATGTAAAAAGGGTCGCAGATTGATATTAATACACAACAACATAGCAGTTCATTAATTTTACAACTTACAACACTGGTGTTCAGTTCTCTAATGATACGGAAAATTATAAATGGTCTTTATACTTACACTGGTATCCTTTAAATATCATGAAACAACATCCTCACGCTCACTTCCTGGTTTGAGATGAAGGACTTCAGCCCTTACTTTGTGAGCAATGCGCATGCCACTGGTTGAATTAAATACATAGCAACCACTTTGTGTGTTTTTCAAGCCATCACAAAGCTCTTGCTTGAGTAGGGGTTTAACCCTTACGCATTCTAAAATCATGAAATACATCTGTTAATGAAGCGCGCCAAGAGATTGGGTTGTTATGCTAATTTACACATTAATTCGCTCTAGATCGTCATCCAGTATGCGACATACTTCGCCTTTCTCGCAATCGTTGGCTTTTTCTTTGCTGTTCATTTTCAAGTTGAATTATGTGGAAGGATGTGGTGGCTGTGGACCTTGTAAGTAGCTTATTGTAAGAGCTAATTATTTACGAATTTTAACTTCATGGTCATGCAAGTTATTTCCTGCAAAATACTGCGTTAATACTAATATTGTCGTTCTTTTTACTACTGGGTAAACGGCCGTATATCAAAGCATTTCCAGCTACCAGCTTCAATCGAGTCTTAATTTAAAAAATGCATCTTTCAGATGTTGAGAATTGGGTACATCAACCTAACTCCATTTTGTATTTGAAAAGGGAGATTTCCTTTTAGTCAAAATGACATACAGTATAAAACCAGCCTGTGTAGGGTAAATGACCTACTCTAGCCTCTGTCAGGAATGAAACTATAACAGAATAATGGCATCTGAACGTACAGCATTCAACTTGAACATTTTCAATGTTAAAAACCTCAGAAGTAACTAAAGCCCTTGAGAATATGTATATAGTTATAGCGCTAAAAAAATAAAATATCTTTACTTTTAACTTGCAAAGCGCAAACGTTAGCTATAGGCAAAACCTGTCCATTGCTTGAAAAAGTTGTTAAAACAATTATGCAAGTGTAGTCTAGATGGTTCTGAGAAAGCAATTAATTAACGTATCATATCAAATGACATGAAATATTAGGCTAGCGTTTTGACACCCTTAGCCTTTTGTCTTAATACGTAGCAGACTTAGTTCTACAATACTTCTCGATTTTCGAATCACTCTTTCGTACACAAATTCGGACGGACCAGTTTATAAAGCATTAATTTGACGCGGGCTTTCAATTGCCTCATAAACAATCCGGGCTTAGTTCCTGCTCATTAACCAGCCCATAAAATATGATCGAACCGGCACAGGAGAACAAGTCCAGTTTAATTATTTTGCTTTATTCCACACAGACCTTAATTTACAGCAAAAAGTCTCATTATTCTCATGAAAGACTATATACAGGTTAAAGGAAATCATATTAGACATTTTCGCTCCATATCGAAAGTTATTAGTCTGCTAATTAATAAAGACAATTCCTCGAAATTATGTAGAGTTTATTTCGGGTTCCTCATAAATTGTTTCGTTTCTCTGATTTCTCGTATACAGGTATTATTTTTAAGTCTTCGCCTCACAATTATTTTGATCCCGACCCCCATGTAATGTGATAAAGTTAACACTCTCTGAGAGTTTTCCTAAAAGGTTTTGCGAATGTAACTTTCCAGTAATACAAGAAGTCCCTCTGTTTCACTAGTAAGTCAATATAATTTATTCCTCGCAGTCCTCACAGAGTTATGCTAGTGCTCAAACAAAGTGCAATATAACTCAAATTCAATTGCCCGTAGTTGTCAGGCATGCGTATAGCGCAAAATCGATACGATGGTGGGTTCTTCCATGAACACAAAGAGAAAAATAGGAACGGAAAATTTTAAAATTCTGCCTATTTCCTTTCTATTTTTTTATATGACTCGAGTAAGCCTCTAAAGCACCCTCTTCCGCCACGCCAAAGTATTCAATTCAAATAAGCCACAAATATGTAAAAAATAAGCCAAGTTAGTGACTAGTCCATTCCCTTTAAGTGACTAATTGTCCATTCAGATTTGAGCCATTTAAGTTTTCGCTTTCCCACGATAAAACAGTTAAGACAATGAGATCGCTAAAGTTCCATTCCTTGAAGCTCCTTAATTAGAGATGAAACAATTTAAAAGGAACTTTCTGTTTTTCAGGTGTTTATTAATATTCAGGAGGGACAAAACCCTTTGATCGTGCATGTTAAGGCATGTTTTGTTGTATTTGTCTTTGATGAGAGCGAAAAAAAGACACGCAAGAACGTTAACAAAACTAAACAAAACAAGCATAAAACGAAGAATAAACAGAAGAAGCAGTTACAGCCAGGGAATACTTCATGATTTAAAGGTTGCTGTTCATTTTAACTTCATCGAGAAAACTTGCGCAATTTGCCTTCGCGCATTTAAGTAATAACAATTAGATCTTTTTTTCTACAAATGTGTTTGGGCAAGTTGCATTTCTCTTTAGGTCAGTTAGAAATAAAAAAAGAGGAGATAGCAACTTATTAATTCGGTCCAATATAAATGCTTGTTTTTACAACACTGAATTAGAACCTTTTGAGATGAAGAGTATGCCTCGTAATTCAAAACTTTTATGCCATGCCCGACAAAAGTAAGCCTGACCAATACCCCAGAAGATAACAATAAATACCCGAGGGTCTAGCTCCCGCATACCACTTCTCGGTCTGACATGCACGTGACAAGTTATCAATTAGTTATTTCAAAAACGAGAAGGGGACTGGAGCCGAAATGTTTCAGGAGACGCGCCGGTCAGCTGGCCAATATTTTCCTTGTCCCTAATAACAGTCCCAGAAGCCTTTACGAAAGATAGCTCGGCCTAGTTTCCCTCCGATTCCACAAAAAGAAAACAACAAAAAACCACAAAAAAAACCGGATGTTTCACGTCAGAGCGAGGCTCAATAAGAAGAAAGCAGAAATATCGTTGAGAGCCAGTTCAAAGCTCCTTCAGCAGAGCAAACTGTATGAAAGAAACAAGCCTATTTGTCACAACAGTTGTGAGGTTACAAACTGTGCTGTAACCGAAATAAAAATTGTAAATAAAGGATCAGTTCAGTTTCATAGTTTGTAGCTCGAATGATTTGTGAACATTTTTTCTCACAATATTTTTCACTGAACATGTATCTAAGTACTTTTCAATCCCGCCCGTACTATCTCCATGTGCATCTCTGCTATTTTTATTTGTTCATGGAAGGCTATTATTTCATATTCCAACTCCAGCGCGTTGTCCAAATGGACGACAAAGTGGCACGTGCCATGTCTTCAAACCAACCTTACTCGACCTTCTCCCTAAGGAGAACAAAAACTACTAACCATATGTCCCTAAGGAACTTTAACCTCACACGTGATTGAATCGTGTACATTTTAATCGCAGGAAATCTATTTGCCAGTCGTGATTTGAAAACGTTTGGATGACACATGTATAATATATTATTAAAATTCAATTTATGAGTTCGGATTAAATCATAACATGGTCCCACAGAAAGCACTGACTTTTTTCTTCCCACATCGGGAACTGAACCCACTCATTTTTTTTTTTTTTTTTTTTTTTTGGGGACAAAACTTCATCAGTTGAGGTCATTTAGTTTTCTTTTTTAATTTCATGTTAGCCCCAAGACATGGCTATTGGGGATCATGGGAGCCATCCTCTTGGGGTTTGACGTCATGCTCAGGTGGCGTCAGAACCAGGAAAAGATACTGTAACGATCCATCCCCTGCCTACGGGGGAAAAACTTGCAGTGGAAGTAGCACAGAAGAGATCGACTGTAATGAGTGTGAATATAACAATGGAGGTTGTGCACAGCGCTGCATAAACCATGACTCTACAGGCTACACTTGCAGGTGCTATCGTGGTTATAAGCGTGCGTGGTGGAACAGTCATCGTTGTGTCCGTAAGTGTATGATTTACTTTTATTGTTGCTCCGCTTGGTAATATTTTTTTACCAGTCCATTCAGTTGTAGCCTTAACCTTCTCCCATAATTTTGTCGATCACGTCGTGTTTTGTAGCTTTTAAAAAAGTTAGGGCGGGGAAGGTTGCGTGACTCCGACCCGAGAAGCTGCGAAGGAAACTATTAAATTTCATGTAATAATAATAATAATAATTAAAAATTTATAACGCGCCTTTTCCATGCAAATATGATCGAAAGCGCGTGACAACACGTAAATGTGAAAAGAAAATAAAAGCTAAAATGAGCAAAATAATTAAGAATAAGGCTAAGAATAAACAACGCTAAAAATTAAATAAAGATAAAAAAAAAACACTAAATATATTACATAGTAAGTTAAAAAAAATTACAAATCAAAAGCTAGTCTAAAAAAGATGCGTTTTAAGTAAAGATTTAAAACGTTCAAAATTGTCCTCAAGACGGATATGAAGGGGCAGATTGTTCCATAAATTAGGGGCAGCAGATGAAAAAGCACGATCCCCTAAAGTCTTTTTCAGTTTTAAACTAGGATACTTTAAGATAAGACCGCTAGCTGAACGGAGATTATAGCGCGGCTGTACTTTAATAGCAATCAAATCGATCAAGTAACCAGGCGCATGACCGTAGATAGCTTTAAAAGTGAAAAGAAGTATTTTAAAGTCAATACGAAATTTGACAGGAAGCCAATGTAACGAACATAGTACTGGTGTTGTGTGAATGTAGCGAGGGACATTAGATATAAGCCGAGCAGCTGTTGTTGTAAAAATGGGTCTCCACAACTTTTTCCTTGTGTTTGAGGAGATGACGATGAACCGGTGGAACAAAGTGTAAACACATGTATACATTTAATCCAATCCTTATGGTTGTTTCTCAATAACTGGTGTAGCACGATCTTATGGACTGAACCACAGGCTGAGCGTGTTCCTATCTTTCTTAGCCCCAACGATGATGTAAAAATGTACTTGAAAAAGTGTGACAGAAGTGTCCTCATTCCAAAGAAATCTGAAAAAAATTGCCACCCCAATTCCCCTGGGTGATATTGTAGAGGAAATAGAGGTATGAAGAAACGTAAAAAAATGACTGAACTATATAATTAAAGTATGCTTGTAATAGATATTTGCCCTTTTTAAATAGGAATCACTTGTCCCACAAGTAGCTGGCCAGCTCCTAGCAATGGAAAGTTATCAAACCTTTGTAGGGGGCAATCTCAAGTTCAGTCTGGGACAACGTGTTCTGTGACGTGTAATAACGGTTATCATCTAAATGGACCTTCATCCTCTCGTTGTGGTGATGACGGCAACTGGAGCCCACGATCATCGCCGAACTGTCAAGGTAAAAGGAGATATCTACAGCCCCCGAAATGATCCCCAAATTGACGATGTATATAAGTGTAAGCTTGGCGCCTTGCGTTTCTAACTGTTTTTGTCAAAAAAATCTCGATGTCATTTCGTAAGATTTTGAAAACACATTTGTCGTTTCATGAACGTCAGCTCCCCTTCCTAGAACACAAAATCATTAAACAATAACAGATTGAATTTAACTTTCGTTTTTCAGTACGTGAATGCTCCCCTCAGTCCCTCCCTGACAATGGTGACATTAGCCCGGAAATCTGCAAAACAAAGCCTTTACAAAGTCGAACCTGCTACTACAAATGCAGTCCAGGCTACACACTGAACGGGCCACCTTCATCCACATGTGACAACGGGCGCTGGACACAAAGTGGTTTTTACTGTCGAGGTAAGGACCTTTTTCAAAAAAACGCTGTCGATGATGATCAGCAACTAAAATTTAATCTCCTGTGTCGTGTCTTTTACGGTACTATTCGTAATTTTGTATGTATTATTTATAAAAGACACACAGCCACCTTCATTTGGAGAGACCTGCCCACCAGAGAGAAATGTTCTTGCTGACGAGGGTAAAACCAGGGCCACGGTGACCTGGGTACCAGCAACAGCTACAGATAATGATCATGCGACCGTCACCGTGCAACCAGGTGTGACGCCACCACACAATTTTTCTGAAGGAAGCCATACTGTGATTTATACTGCGAAAGATCCGTCCGGAAATGTAGCGATTTGCCAGTTTAGAGTCAAGGTTCAAGGTAATATAATCAGTAAAAAATAAGTTGATTATTTTACGTCAATAAAAAAGCAGTGTCACTTATATCATATCAAACGGAGCAGCATATTGTTTAATAACTTCTAGAAAGCCATAAACAACAAATGGAATAATTATAATAGGACCAAAATAGAATTAAAGTTAAAGGGGAAATGTTATTCACCAAGCAATTCCTTGATAACCGGGACTGGAAGTGCTTGAAGTACACCCAACGCAACATGTGAAATGGAGCAGTTTTGCAAGAAAATGAAATTATGATTGTCCGAGTAAGAGAAGTCATGAATGGGACTGCTTGTAATGCCTTGACAGAGAATTAGGCTTTGACAACCTGGCAGAAGGTGTCATTTACGTTCAAAGTAATTTGACAACAGATGCGAATACCATCGACAGTCCTATTAACATACCTTTCACACTACCTCACACGTGACTCCCTCAAACCAATAACAATGTTTCCTCATTCAGTTCTTCGATGCCCTGTTCTTCTTCCACCTGCCAATGGAAGGCTGAGGTCTGGCGCGTGTAACAATGTGCACGGAAGCATTTGTCACTTTCAGTGCAACAAGGGATTTAAGCTGAAGGAATCTGTGGTTAGAAGCTGCAACAAGACTTCTGCAGCAAACCAAGTATATTGGAAAGGAAACGCCACTCGATGCGAGGGTAAGCGAAGATATGCCTTTCTGTGTCCCTCTAATTTGTTGCCAATATAATATTACAGTCGTGATAGGAGAATTGTTCACATTTTTATCTTTCTTTTTTGTATCATTCCTTTATAATAACGCCCATTATGGCAAAAAAAGTTTTGGCTATAGGGGCGCATGTATTTGAAATAAATTACCCGAGGATTTGCGTGAACCCAAATCAATGAACTTATTTAAATCTAAATTGGACCGATTGCTTCTCAGCTTCTTTGATTCCTTAATATAATACATCAGGCTTAAAATTATCTTATCGAATGTTAATATCTAGTTTTATAAATATTTTTTTCCTTTCTTTTTCAAACTGATTATTTAAAAATCAATTCGGAACTGCTGATAGATATATACAATTTTTTCAACACGTCTATTACGTAGCGTAAACCAGCTTTTGCTGATAAAACTACCGTGTCTAAATAAAACATCTCTCTCTTCTTCTCTCTCCCCCCCCCCTTCTCTCTCCCATCTTAAGATGTCCATGATAAGGCGGTGCACGTGATTGTTTATATTTTTTCTTGAAGACCACGGTTTATTTATTCATTTATTTATTTCCTCCTCTTTTATTTTCTTTTTTTGTTACAGTCATCAAGTGCCCCTCTTTGGGTACCCCTGATAACGCAGTAAAGACTGGGTACCAATGCAACGCTCCAACCGCTAGCTATGGTACTGCCTGCTTTTTCAGTTGCAAACCAGGATACGAGTCAATAAATGGATCTGCGCAAAGGACATGTCAGGAAAATCAACAGTGGAGTGGAACACCTCTTCAGTGCAAGGGTAATGCGCACAATTTTAGCCATTAAACCAATAAGTGTTTTAAGTACTGTATTCAGGAGATAATCGAATCATTCTTGCAGTTACCAGATAGTGACGATGACAATCTTGATGACGATAATAATTTCTTACCCAGATCTCATACAGCGGATGGCAGAGTGAAATATGGTACTACTTTATGACGAGAATTGTAGTCATTACCAATAATACAAGATAACGATGCTCTTGATGAAAATAAATTCATAACTAGAACATGAGGGTTTGGGTCGAGCGTGAACGATGTAGGTCTGACTTTTCTCTGCTCTTCCAAAACCGTGTGTTTCCAAGGTCTGTGAGATGTGCATGCACTTAAATGGAAGATTTTTTCAATCGTTTTAAGAGGAAAAGTAGGTTCAAGAAACTAAAACGCCAGAAAGAAAGTGATACTAATGAATATGATGGGTTTGACATTTAATAAATCCGAAGTAAGGAAATACTACTGTTTTTCTTGGATGCCGCTAATTTGTTAACTTACAGAAGTTATACCTTTTTCTGTTTGAGTTTGAGAGCTGCTAGAGATCACTACGAATTCAAATCAACCTGTCCCAATTCTCAGAGGCCGCAGTTATCATAATGTTGTTCGTCGGCCTTTTAACAACTATTCATTGTTTGTATTGTTCTCTAGTTGTTACCTTAATGTTTGTCTTACTTTGTTTAGATTTATGTTTACTTTTTGTTTTATGTTTCCTTTCTTTGATTACTTTCGTTTGTTTTGTATCTTTTGTTGTTGTTGTATTTTTTTTCTTTTCTTTGTTATTGTTATCCTTTTTTCTTTTTTCTCTTTGGTTAGTATTTATTTAAGTGGAATTGTATAATTTATGTAATTTATGATTATTCTTAATGACAGTGTCATTGTAACTTGTCTTTAATTCAATAAAAACTGTTTAAAAAAATGACTAGAACATCATGTATTTCAGCCGTGACATGCCCTGCCATAACTATAACATCAGAGGGACTTATCATTAGCCCACCAGCCTGCTCAAACGCAAGTGTTCGCCTTGGTTATGCAACAGAGTGTCGCTTCACCTGTAAGAGTGGGTATCAGCTCCAAGGCCCTAGACTCAAGATTTGTGGACAGAGTAAGACTTGGACTCCAATAGGAAACCCCTTTTGTTCAGGTAGGCATGGTTTATTTAGCAATTATCAGAATCAGGCTTAGTAGGATATGAAGAATTCTGCAGATGAAGGAGGGTGCTATCCACCAAGCCCGAAGGCCGAGGTGTATAACACCCCCCTTTATCTTCAGAATTCTTCATATCCTACGAAAGCCGAATTCAATAATTGTTTTATTATTCCTTCGAAATAATTCCAAGTTTAAAAACAGGTTAAAACATGCTAACCTTGGTTGACATAAGTGCATATCGATAACGAGTAAAATGTTCCGCCGACTGTTCAACCATTTTGTTCTAACTACCAAAACAACTCAACCTCGTCGCCAGGTTTTCACGGTCAAATGTTCAATAACCTGCAACAAGGCTGCACTTTTGACGTCATTTTGACGTCGTCGGTTCAATATGACAAAATTCTTTCCAAATTTGGTCAACAGTAGCTGGTTATGGTGAATTATGCGTGTGGTTTTAACAATCAGAAACGGGGAAATATTTTGAATGAATAATAAAATAATATATAGATTTATCCTTGGCTAAAAGCGAAGCTTTGGAAAACATTCATGGCTTGTTCAAACAAAATTTAAAATCGTGTAATGCTCGAGCGTGTGAAGGCAACGCCGGAGAACGATGAAAAAACAAAAATAGGTGTAATTAGCAAAAAAGCAACTTTGCACGTGCAGCACACTTTTTTTGAACATTTCTTTGCTGTTGCTTTGCAAAACTACAACGTGAAACTTCCTAGTTACACGTTTTAAGGTGATGTTACCCGAGACGATTCGCTTCGACGATTTTCAGCGCAACGCAGCGTTGCAATGTTGGAACAATGTTGCAACCATTCGAAACAATGTCGCAACAATGCTTTAATGTTGTGTTGCGCTAAAAATCGTTGTTGCGAGTCGTCCCGTATAACATCACCTTTATGGAGGAAATGTCGTACGTGTTCACTTTTTTCACTACCGCTCATTTTCACCTTGCATTGGTAGCCACCGGCATTTCTAATTTTCTCACCGCCGCTACAAAATTTTCATGTTGTTCTTCCAACAAAAAATGTCTCCTTTGTTTTTTATCTCTCGCTCTAGATCTCTGTCGTCACTTGGGTTGCCATACCTGTTGATTGAGTTATTTTACATTAGTATGCCCGTGGTGCGGACGGACAGTCGGTCGGGGGTACGGTCACGTGATTACCAAAATTTCTCGGATGGGTAGATTACCACATTTTCGTACCCATGTTGCTCCGCTTGGTGCTCGAGAGCTTCGCAGTAATTTTTATTCCTGCCAGGCGATTTATATGGCAAATCCCGCTTCTTAAATCAGTCTTTTTCTCTCCAGCGTAAAATGCCACGTACGTCTCATGCACTGAAAATTACGCAAGTTAAAGGTTTTGTCTTCTCAGTCTTCTCCTCTTTATTCTGAGTACTAATAGAATCAACAAACATAGTAATTTATTCATTGTATCCTGTCTTTGGCCTTCGTTACATATTAAATAGGTTTCCTCCTATTTACGTACATTCGAATTATCTATATCACAATACCATTATTTATTCATCTATTTATTTTGTTCAAGACATTTCGAGCCCGACATTCTTAAACTGTCCTCCACATTTGCCTCAAAATGCTGACCGGGGTACTACGTCAGCAACCGTTTCGTGGGCAACCCCAACGGCTACAGATAACTCCGGCTTCGCTCCCAACATTACGCGTACAGGAAAGAAACCTGGGGAGAGATTCTCTGCCGGGGAACATATCATCCGTTACAGAACCATTGACAGAGCGGGCAATATTGGCGAATGCACTTTTAAAGTCTTCGTTTCAGGTAGATGTCTTAATCTGGCAACTGTAGTTTTAAGTAGTTCGATAAATAACAGAAAAGTCTAAACTTAGCACCAGATTGTTAAATGTTCATATTTAAGTTATAACTATATTGGTAGTTTCCTCCCTTGACAAGGCCTCAGCGAGTTAAAAGGGTCCGCAATATGGTTAGTCACGATGAGTTAATTACTGGTAAGTTAACAAATTCACTATTTTGTATGTAGCCTGCGTGGCAGGCGTTTGAAACGGAAGGGAAAGGGGGTTTTGGGCGCGAGGTAAACGCGAGGGGCGCGTGAGGAGGGAGGGAGAGAGGGAAACGCCTGCCAGGAAACCATTGTTTTCGTCATCCTGCCGACTCATTATGTATGCAAAAATAACGCAATTGTGAATGACTAGCTGTCAAATAAGTCTGGCCGCGATGCGCTTATTTAAGTCGTATTTCGCGTACTGTTTTTCTTTTGTTTTCCTAAAACAAGAAATCTGAAGTGAAGGTACTATCAAAAAAAGTATAAATGCTGTCGTTTGTTGAAGGAGAAAGTCGTAACCATGCGTGGCTTGTTATATAAAATCCAGCACAAATCTATTACGTTTTTGCTGAAGGTATCGTGTTGGACTTCCCAACTTGCATGAATGTTTGTCGGAGAAACTAATTACAAACACTTTGCTGACTCTCGAACTGGATCCAGCGGAGCATACAAAAGAACGCTGGTAGCAGGGAAAGAAGAGCTGAGCTTCAAAGATCTACAATAAGGCTAATTCTGCAAACAATATTATTATTAAAGTAAGTTCCTGGCGGCTTTATAACGTCTATATTCAGCAAGAAGAACTTCTCAAACCAAAAATCGCTAAGGATTATAGATCGCTTCTTCTTCAACAATCTGGTCGTTGATAAAGCGTAGCCTGCGTGGTAGGCGTTTGAGGTCAAACAGCAGATAACAAGCACACAGGCTGCATGATTTTTCCTTTCTTTCTTTTAGTGAGTAAAACAAGCCGTTGGGAGACAAGACTTCTCAAAATCAGTCAGCAAAACTCATCTGCTGACAGGTCTTTTCCTTCATACGAGTCTTTAAACTGCTTTCTTCTATTCTCCTTTCAAGCTGAAATTGATGCCTTCAGTTTCTAATCTTTCTAGAACGATGAATTCTATACAGAAATCTCATCACGCCTCACTAACAGCATATTTTTAAATGATTACTAAAAGATCGATTAAGTTACTCGTGATGTTGATTTCAGCCAATCGGATTAAGGTATTAAGGCTGTGATCGACATGTTTTGAAGACGGACCAATCAGGATTTTAACATTCGCCTAGTGGATGTTAAAAACGAAAAAAACAATGGTCTCTTGGCAGGCGTTTCCCTCCCTCCCTCCTCGCGCGCCCCTCGCGTTTCTCTCGCACCTAAAACTCCCTTTCCCTTCCCTTTCAAACGCCTGCCACGCAGATTATTCTGTATGTAAAATCTTGAATCTAATATTCTACATGTGAAATCTTAAATTTCAGTATTCTGTATGTCCAAATCTTGAAATTTCGAGATTCTGCATACCAAATAATATTTAAAAAAAAATTAAAAAAAAATTGGTAACCTACCTGTGTTTAACTCATCGTGATTACTCATGCTGCATACCTACCACCTTCTTAAACCCGAGTCGCAAACTTGTCAACATTATCTTATTCTGGGTGTATTAGAAAAAATGCAAAGGAACGTTACCTTTTTAAGCAGTTTTGGTCCTATTATTCAGTGATCCGATGTGAACCCAGATTATATGCACCAGCTGGAGGCAGCAAACGTTGCATCATGGATAACATGTATGGCTCAGAGTGTTCCTTCACATGCCACCCTGGTCACATCATGAGGGGTTCGGCAAAAAGAAGTTGTGAAAAAAATCACCAGAGCTCTTTCGGCTTCTGGACTGGAAATGAAACGAAGTGTGAATGTAAGTTATACTAATTTTACGCTAATCCAAAATTCTCATTCCTCTCAAGAGACTACGATTTTACCTTTGTTTTTCACATCAATTTGAATAACTCTTTAAGGCTTCTAATCACCACTACAACTCCAATCATCATCATCATTATCATCTCATCATCATTATAACTATAATCATCGTCATCATCATCACCACCACCACCAACACCATCATCATAAGCACCATTTCCAGTAGCACTCGCAAAAGCATTATCTTGTTGTTGTTGCTCGAATGATCTCCAATCTTCCCTTTGTCTCTACCATTTATGGTTTGTTGTCTTGCATAGTTGAATGTCAATGAATTTGACCCTTGAGACATTTCGTTTGTTTTATCTGTGTGCAGTGGTCAAGTGCCCTCGCCTTCCTCGTTCTTCTCACACCGTCCAGTCAGGTTGTGGGTTTGGTTCCATGAATAATGTCTTTGGTGACAGATGCCTCTACTATTGCGACATTGGATATCGTAAAATAAACGGTTCAAGTGAGAGAGTCTGTCAGGCAAATGGGACATGGTCAGGGCAACCACCGTACTGTGAAGGTGAGCACAAACTAAGTTTTAAATAGCTCGACCAACTGTCTTTCATTTTACAGAAAACAAAACGAAATCATTATAGAACAAAATGAGAAAGCTTGGTATTAGAACGTAATTGCTAATTTCGTTGGGCTCTTGCGCCAATAGTTTGTGGTTTTTTTTCTGATATATACTCGTGCCATTTGGATTAGACTGCGCTACATGAATCTTTTATCGTTGAAGAGCCTAGGCAAACTCTATTATGAAATTAAAATAATCAATAGAAAATTAATATAGGTGCTTTATTTTTTCTTTCATAGTCGTTCGTTGTAGTTCCCTGGAGCCACCAAAGGACGGGCAAGTAACACCAAATTCATGCACAGTCTCTCCAGAATACGGTGAAACGTGTTACTTCTCTTGTCCGAGAGGCTACAGATTGCATGGGGAGCCAGCAGTATCCTGTCTCAGCAATGGACAGTGGTCCAAAACCACTAGTGCCTTTTGCGAAGGTTACTATAATGTGTAAATAATTTATACGCTATATGCAGATTCATTTTCTGTGGTCACTCCAATTCATTTGTTTGTCTGAGCAAAGGAATATAACCTTGCAACTGAACGATACCCAATACCATTACGCCCAAGTAAACGGCCATTATTACTTTAATTTTTAAGGTATCTTATCTGTTAAACGTTTTATTTTAGACGTCGAAAGCCCTTCGTTTGGCTCAACGTGCCCCTATGATATAAAGCGCTATGCAGACAGGGCGAAGAACTACACAGCAGTAAGCTGGCCTGCCGTTGTAGCTACTGATAACTCGGGTGTTACCCCGAATGTCTTTTCTACTGGTGTAACCAATATATACTACACAGGAAGACATACCGTTATATACAACGTCAGCGATGAAGCTGGGAATTCTAGGATCTGCAAGTTTTACGTCTTTATTGAGGGTAGGTGCGACTTTAAACTGCGCATAATCTGCAAAGACTATGCATCAAATATTTCGCTTTACTGAAAATGTGTCGGGTCATTCTCCAGTTATCGATAAGGCTATCCAGTGCTAACGCGAGTTCCCTAATACTTGTATGCTGAATGGTGATTTACCCGGTGGATACCGCTTCATATACGTGCATTTTGCAAACACTAAAAGACGTTACATGCACTACACCATATCCAGCAACAAAAACGTAACCAAATTTTTTCATCCTATTACAGTTTTGAGATGCCAAACATTGCTCCCTCCGTTGAACGGTTTTTTGTTGGGTAAATGTGAGAATACATTTGGATCAACCTGTACATTTGGGTGTGACGATGGATACAAGTTACTTGGTGCGCAAAATATATCATGTGAAGCAAGCCCTGGTCACATCACGGGTTATTGGGATAATCCAGTTCATGCCTGCAAAGGTAAACACATAATAAGCAAATAAGACAACAAGCCCTAATATGATAATCGTATGACCATTTTACTGACTCCTAAATTTCAAGGTGACAATTGTCTTCATTCCTGAATAAATAGCTCCTGGATACACCTTTTTATGGTGAGAGTGAAATGAACTTGTTCTACAATTATCTTGTTCACTTTCGTTTTATTTTGTCATGAAAGATATAGTTCATCATTGTTATTTTTCCTTGTAGTTATTGCCTAAAAGTATCACCAATTATCATCATTATTATGATCCTTCCTCAAACAATAAAGTATCGTCTAAGGAGTAGCGGTACTCTTGTTATCATATCATTTTCTGTCTGTTTTTTTGTTTGTTTTTGTTTTTTTTTGCTTAGTCCTTAGATGTTCTTCATTAAAGGCACCGCAGTTTGGCTATATTTATCCTCACATGTGCTCGTCATGTCCCATCAGTGGAACTGTTTGTTATTTGGAATGCAGACATGGATTCCAAAGTAATGGAGGGGTAAACGTGTTGCAATGTGGGAAGAACGGAAAATGGAACCAAAATGTATCTTCTACTTTGCAGTGCAAAGGTACTTCATTTCTTTGGCTTTTTCGTCTATTTGAAGCAAAACAGAAAATGGAACAATGTTGCTTTTCTAAAATAAGGTGCTTAGGTAGATCCTGCTCACCTTTAGCCATGAACTTGACAGAATGTACTTCGGTTCAAGTCGTCTGATGTGACAGTATTAAGGGTTCTTTTTCTCATATGTTGTCTTGCAGACGTTGTTCCTCCCGTATTCATGAGCTGCCCTTCCGATATTCGCGCCAGTATCAACGAAAATTCGTCGGCATCGGTAAACTGGACGTTTCCTGTCGCTATTGACAACAGCAACCAGGCACCGCAGATCACTGTATCACCAGCTGGAGTAACTTCACCTTACACGATTTACACCTCTACCGTCATTGCCTACACTGCAACTGATGCGAGTGGAAACAAGGATGAGTGCTCATTTCAAGTCTTTTTGGAAGGTCAGAAAATAACCCTTAATGAGGAAGCATACCTGAGGTCAAGAGGGCTGGATTGGTTGAAAATTTTATGGACCGAGAGGCAATCGTAGTCCATAAAGAAGTAAAAATGCCACACTCCAGTCAACAAGTCCGAAATATAAACGATTTATAGTATGGGTAAAAGGTTGAATTTTTTTCGAGGACAACGCGGGCATACAAGAGCGGGTAAAATGGAATCATAGCCAGAAGCTAGTCAAAATACAGGATTCGCTTTATCTTACCCACTCATTAATAGTGATATATATACTAAACATAACGCTTGTTTAAATAGATTTTACACATTTTCATCTCTCGTCGGAAAGGGTCCATATAGACCTAGGCATTTATGTCTAGTATCAACCTCCAAAATCGATCGCATGTTTTAATTTAAAACACGAATCTGAATCCATAATTCATTTTATTTGCAGACAATTCAGGCCCCGAGGTTGTATTTTGCCCACCAGACCAAAACATAACTGCAACAAAGATGAGGACAGTTGTAACATGGATCTCTCCACAGTTTAAAGACAATAGTAACAATCCTTTGGTCATTAGATGCAGCCATCAGAGTAAGGCAGAGTTTTACTGGGGAACCTGGAACGTGCATTGTACGGCGTTTGATAATAATCCAAACAACAATCCTGCCGTTTGCCAGTTTACCATCAGGTTAAAACGTAAGTAGGTAGTAACTGACGTTATCACTCGAGGGCAAGGGATACCACTGGGAAATTCGGTTGGAGGTGTGCAGCTTGCCTCTTAACAACCAGCTATAAATTGCATGATCTTTCCTACCCTACTCATACCTGAACAGGTGTTCTCAAGAGACGAATGACAAATAGAGGACACACCAAATTCCAGATACAGGTACCTGATAGCACAAACCTTACACTATAAAAAAGCCAGACATTCAGTCTATACTTATTACCCATTTTCGGACCAATTAGTCACTTTCACACACTTTCACAGCCCCCAATTGCTTTCTAATCCATTTTCATGACACTAACGTTCATCTCATAAGGTAATTCTATGCTAAGCTATGCTAGTTTTGCAAGTAATTTGGGTAGCATAAAGTAAAATGAGAGCCCTGGCAACATGCATACAGCAGCACTCCGTTAATTTGTCTTTCAAATGAAACATACGCCTATCACGCTGGTTTGCCAATATGCAAACTCACAAAATCGCACATACGGCCACAATTAGCTGAAAATGGAATACAGAGGCACCCAACGACTGTTTTCTGTAAAACATCTGTTCGGGGAAGCAAACATTGCCAAGAATTAAGGATGGGTCAACGTAGATCAACTTAATATTTAGGGTCACTTATTTTAATACCGAAGAATACAATTAAATTTAAACAGAGGCACATGGTTGATTTAATATCGATCTGTACTAAGTTTGTTATAATCTGCCTTGATACAGCGAAAGATTGTATTGATCTGCCGCCTCCGAAGAACGGGGCAAAGGCTTGTGATGACTGGGCATTCGGAAGATTTTGCACTCCCTCATGTAACAGCAAATGGGATTTCGCCCAAGCACTGCCTCCATTTGTAACATGGGTATGTGGAGCATCAGGGACATGGTCTCCTTCAACCCGGTGGCCAGATTGCTCAAGTAAATAGAAAACTGCTGTTTTCTAACTTGTATATATGTTGGGGTGTAATTTTATTCTTGGTTAAATTTTTGTTGTTTCAAACCATTATCATGAATTTCCCTTCCTAAGAACTAAGGGCAATAAAATGTAAGCCCAGGATGAAATTAAACTACAATTAAAATAGACCAGCGTATTACTAAAGAGGGTGTTATCCGAACATAATTACGTAGGGCCGATAACACCCTCCTCGATCTCCATAATGCTTCAGATCCTACTCAGCCTCAACGAGTAATTTGTTACATATTTCATGTACTCCAAGTAAATGTGTTCCTTTCACGGAGACGAATGTCTGAGGCTACTTATTAACCCCCAGCTAACGTAAGTGGAACCACAGTTCCCACGTAGAACATCGTATTGCTAACAAGGGTTGATGGGTTTGTTTCTCGCCTGGTAGACGGTAAATTGCATGGATACCTGCAATGATATTTCTTCATTTACTTCAAAATAGGCCGTTCATATATGATTTATGTCACATAATTTGTCTTGACCAATTATGTTGAAGAAAGATACCCTTCGTATTCGTCATTTGCCAGTTATGTAGAATGTGAAATTATCTAATAAACACATCCATCTACTTATTGATTTAAGCGAGGGTTTTAATTGGTTACTAGATGGTAAGGTTTCTGTGCAAAAACATAAAATGCTATAACACCTTTTGTTATATAGCTGAAATTTATGACGTCAGAGGGTAATAGTGCACTGTTACTCTCGGATGTTGACTGTTCGCAACATTTATTTTTATAAATTTGTTCTCGAAAAAGTTTTTCTTCGTGAGCTATATATAACAAATCACTTAAAGATAGGTCCCTCGGGAAACAGTTAATTTTGTTTGCCTCGAATCTCAAAGTTTCCCGTGGCGGAAGATTGTCGGGAAACAAAGTTAACTGTTTCCCTAGGAAGCAGTCACTAAGTTTTTATTAATATATTTCCAATAAATCACTGCAGAGGTATACCAAGCAGGTGAAGCTAGAATGGCGATGGATTTGTACTATTTCGACGGAGATTGCAAAACACCGGAAGCCCAGACAAAAATAAGAGAGAACTTTGTTCGGATTTTAAACGGGTCCCTTTTTCGAGTGATGTGCCAAGACCCTGTGCTCAGAGATCGCTGCACGGCTGAGAACGTAGTGGTAACATGCGATGAAAATACGAGCGCAAAACGGAAAAGACGTTCATCAGGTTGGTGTAACATTGGTTGAGTATCATAGCGGTACTTCCAGCAACTAGCTGAGGCATAAAGCCAATGAACTCTTTCTTGCAGTGAAACTGAGTTGAAAGTGTACTTCTTGGGAGGACGATTGACGCGAGATCGAAGACAATCAGTCATAGTGTAACTGGGTAGTTTTTAGAGCTAGTTTTCCAAAACAGGCTTCTTTTTCACTCAGTGACAAACATTTACCTGGAGATACTTAGAGTAACAGCATCTGTTCCTCAAGGAAAAAATCCTTCTGGACCTCAGAAATATAGCTCAAGAAATACGACTCTTGGGTCCCCTAAGTTTAGCGTCTCTCGATCCTTCGTGGAGCAATTTGGGTATAAAAAGCCCTGACCTTGTGCAAAATATTTGAACTGTTAAAAGACTGTCTCAAAGCGATATTTCCAAAGTGTGTTTATTTTGAGGTGATTTTTTCATTCTTCAGATGGTGTTGGTGATCGCATTCGGACAAAAGTCCATCTTGACATTGTTGGTAAGTTCTGTACAGCTGAGCTCACACCCAAAAACGTCCTTTACAGACGTTTAATGTTTCATACCCCCTCCCCCCGGCCTAGTCTCAGGGCTTCATATTGGGTTATTGTGCCTTACAATTAGTCATGCGGTTCAAATATGTCATCTCATAAGGTACTGAAAATCTCCGGGAAACTCAAACCAATTCCATTTAGGAAGTACAATGGAAAGTCGACTCCTTGAGGCTTTTTATCATACACGCCTTTCTAGATTAAATGTACAGGAGTAATTTCTTGCCATAATAGTGATTAAAAGGGTGAAATCGAACAGGAGACAGTATGTTTCGATGGATGAGCAGGACGTAACAAGTTTTCATTTGATCTCAGTCTCAGATGGCATTTGTACAATGCGTTATACACTCAAATTCAAAACCCACATTTACTTCCGAAGCTACATTCCCTGCTATTCTCGAAGAACAGTAAATCTTGCTTAACACGGCCTTTGAATAAATAAATATGGATCAAGTTGGCCAATAGCTGAAAGTAAGATTCCAGTGATAAAGATTATAACAATTAAACTTAATAATTGCTGGCATACAGGCAGTAGCTAGTGCAATTTTGCAAAAAGATTTTTAAAAAATCAACTTCAATACTTATGAGGGATAAATCTTTTGAAGGACCTCGATCGTTCTTTTGGGATGAAATTATTGCTCTTTTGTGGGCCCTCTGTTTGTTAAAACGAGCTTTTGCCACTAGCTTGTCATGTAACAATTCACCTTTCGCAGTAATCCTTGGCAACAGTACCGGAGTAGATGACGACAAACAAAGCAAGATCGAAGCAGGTTTGGCAGGCGTGGAGTTCGCCAAAAACTTAAGCAGTGAAATCAGGAGAGCAGTTGAGATTGGTGTCCTCAATCTGACCATAAACGGCACGCTGTTTGTTCCTGATGAGCAGTCACTGAACTTCTCAGAACCTGTGATATTTTGTGCAAAAGGACAATCCTTTAGAGATGGAGTCTGTGGTAATTTATTTACTATTATCATACACATACACGTAAAGCAGTGGAAATTAAGGAGCTTTGACATTGACTTCTGTTTATGATATTGTCTCTGCATTTTGCTATCAATATTTCATTAAAATTAAAGGTCTAATGCTGTTCTAAGCAAATTGAATACAAAGAAAAACACTTCATCGAAGTACAATTGAAGTACAACGTGAAAAACGGGAAAACTGAGACAAGTAGAGGAGTTGTCCTCAAGTGGCTTTAGGTGGCCTTTGCAAAATCCTTCGTGAAAACAACTTCCAGTAAGCCAAATATAATTCATTCTCATGCACTTAAGACTCGACTTTATTAACATTATAGCCATCATCATCAGCACCAGCAACACCAACAGCAGCAGCAGCATCGCCACCAATATTAGTATATATATTCTTTTGTTCATTCCTCATTGTGATATATTTTGCATTGCTCAGTAAGCTGTTCACCAGGAACATACCTAAACAAAACCCTTGGTACATGTGAAGACTGCCCTGTTGGATCATATCAAGAGGAAGAGTCACAAGAAGCATGTGTGCCATGTCCACCGAGAACCTCAACGGAAGAAACAAGATCTGACGATCGATCTAATTGTACAGGTAAAAGCACACTGTTGCAGTACTAATACTTAACTTTACTTTACTTTATTGACCTTGTTGTATGCGATCAAGTAATATGTAGATTAAAATATCAAATTCGTTAGAAAAATAAAGTAAAATAAAATAGACAATATTGCAACTGGAGCAGGAAACAGGACAATGTCCCAGTTGATATTTTGCCCCAAGAACCAAATAAAATAATAAATAATAAATAATTATAATAAAAAAACATAAATAACAGAACCTCCGCCCCTAACCTTAATCACTGCTTACCCCCTCCTCATAAACAGACTACATAAGTATCACCCTATACCTCACCGGCTGTGAGGACATAACATAGAGTATTGCGAGCGTAAATGTCTAAAACCTTTTTCTTAAAACTAGATAGTGACTGATTCGTGCTTTTGATGTCTACAGGTAGCTTGTTAAGCCTATACGTATTCTATTATCTTCAATTCTGTTTTCCACTGCTTTTGCCCACCTAATTATATGCTCAAGGTACAGTTAAGCTGAAAGCTTGCGTAAGATAATGTTTTGTGCAGTTGTATATATGACTTTATATACACACTCAGTGATCTTGGTAATTCAAGCAATCTGATTGGTTAGCTATCTCGGACTATGACGTTATATTCACCGCGCTAGGCGGTGAATATATAGAGAATACTTCATGGAAAGTGCTGGCGTACGGTATTTACGCACGAGTTGTTGACGTATCAGAAATCGAACTAGTGAGCGCAGCGAACGAGTAAGATTTCTGATACAAAAACAACCGAACGAGTGAGCGCAGCGAACGAGTAAGATTTCTGATACAAAAACAACGAGTGCGTAAATACCGTACAAAGCACTTTCTATGTGGTATTGTGTTTATCATATACATACTGAGACATTCATCATGGCGGCTTTTTTATTTTAAATCTTTCAAAAATGCTAAAATTTGCGGCTACACACCGCAAAATGACAACAAAAACGAAGTATCAGGTTTTTAGTAAAAAAGTTTGTTAAAAACATAAATGACGGTGAGGTTATGAGGTAATCCAAGAACTATAAGTAATCTTAACTGTTTGTTCTCAATGCACAATCGAAAATGAGTGAATTTAAGTAAAATGGCCGGTTTCAATATAAGCTTAAGCTTAAATGAAAGGCAAAGTAGCTCCGACAAAAAGCACAACAAAAGGATACGTCTCGTTCTGTTTATCCCTTTTCGCTGTTGTCTCGCCGGCTCTCTACCGTTTTCTTTATCAACAGTGAAACAAACGAAACTATTCCACTCCATTTCCGAAATGCTTTTCACTTTTTTAGCGAGAAAAACTCTTTGAGTAAAACTTTCCTCGCTGAATGTGTGCCAAGCGGCGCTGCAAGCTGCAATAAGAGGCGGGCATTTTGGCGCGAAACTCGCACACCTTTGTGGCTTCTGATTGGACGTATCATTTTTCTCACACGTGAAAAAACATCGTTCGCGATTCTGTTTGGACGTATTATTTTTTTCACGTGTGAAAACCATCGTTCGCTCCTCTGATTGGCTAGAACTAATTTGCGTACGAAAATTTACGACATAGCTTTTTGGTGAGTATTTCTCAGTATGTATATAATAAAAAGCAGAACAAAATCGCTGTCGTGAACTGGGTGTTTTGCCAAAGTTTCATAGTAAAGCCTTTTTGAAAATACACGAATATCCAAGTTGTGATGACTTTGAAGGCAAGAAAAGACTTCATGGTGTTTAAACAGCGTGATTTATTGTGAAGTGGTTTACTGTAGCTGACTTTGTGTACGCTCGAAGGTATGTTTACCACTACAGAGGAAAACGAGGTCGATTTGTCACTGTTTTGTGATTCTGGGTTTTCTCGCAAGACCAATTTTGCTCATAAATAGAAGTTAATATATGGAGAAAAGAGGAAGGCAAATATTTTCGAAAATTGTACGTACCACTAAGTTAACAAGGAAAAGAACATTGGAGATAAACAACGTTCACGTTGATCGTAGCCGCTGTTGACAGCACTTGCAAGAAGCGGCAAAGAAAGCTTTCTCATTTACGGTGAGTTGACAGAAACAAATAAAGCTCTACTTTTGTTCTCAGAATTGGGTAGTAATTTAAATTTTCGGCGTTTTCTTTTAAACCGTTGATGCTAAAGCTTACAAAACTCGATACACAAAGATTAAAACGATCATTTGCCATGTTTGAAGATACAGTAAAGATCTTACTTTTGCGCATCCACTGTTAACGGCTTCTTGTTCACGCATGAATTCACCCGTCAATCAAACTAATCGTTTTTCAATGGTTTCCTTTCTAATTCTGTTGAGATTACTTCGTGTGAATATACTAAAACAATTATTCACCTCAGGCTCAGTTAATATTGTTGAATAATCCCCTCGACTTCGACTCGGGGATTATTCAACAATATTAACTTCGCATTCGGCGAATAATTGTTAAATATTGCTATACCTAAACACTCATCAACATTGATATATCTTCAACAGGCTATTCAAGAAACTAGATTACGTACAAAAAAAATAACGCATTTTTATTTCTCCTACACAAAATAGCGTTGTGTAAACCTGGGTCATATTCACCCACCGGATTAGAGCCTTGTATCCAGTGTGAAAAGGGGCTTTATCAAGAAACAGAGGGGCAGCGTCTCTGCATAAAATGTGGTGTTAACACAACAACTCCAGAGGAGGCATCAAACAGTTCTACGCAATGTGCAGGTAAAAATGACAGTTTGCATTTTATGAACAAATGAAATGCTCAGACAAAACTTCTGAATGTACATAAGTGCATTTATAGAGTTAAGTATTCATTAAAATGACTATCCCGATGGAATTTCAAGAATTATCTATTAACCTATTTTCCAGGCCCCAGTTGTTCAAAAGGTGAGTAGTGATATCCACTGGATAGATCACTATCTAGTGGATAACCAGTTATTCTTCGTAATACTTATTCATTGGATATCGATTTATCTGGTGGATAGCGCTATCCAACTTTTGAAAAACCGGAGCCAGACCGCCAAACTATTTATTGACTGAGCCAGACCACAGAACACGGTAAGCTAACGTACATGGCCGTAAACGCCCAATACAGATCTCCTGCTCATATTTTATCTACTACTTGTGGACATACTGTAGACAAGGAATCATCAGCTATTTAGTTGGAAAGCTAAATTTTTATTGATATGGGCAAATAGATTCACCACAAGTACTAAATAAAAGTTTGTGTTACTTGTATTTTTTGTCGTTCTTTCCTCCAGTCCCCTGTCCTCCAGGTTCTTTCTCTCCTACCGGACTGGCTCCTTGTACTTTGTGCAACCGGCGCTCCTTTCAGCCCCACAACGAGAGCCGCATCTGCGTTCCATGCCCAGGAACAACTGCAACTGTGCTGCCAGGGACAAAAAATTCTCAAGATTGCATAGGTGAGTGGTACGGAACACCTATCGACACTAAGTTAGCTGTTCCATCGAAGGGCCACCACGCTTGATTAAGTATAGCTTCTAAGAACGACTGCTGAAAATGTAAGGTAACACGAAAGTTTGCATGGGCAAGAATACTTATTTTATCTCTGATCTCCTTTTTACTCTCCAGAAATTAACGAATGCGAATCCAATCCCTGTCGAGGCAACTCTAACTGCACAGACCTTATTGCTGACTTTCTGTGCTCCTGCCAACCTGGCTACACTGGTAAACAATGTGAGACCAACATTGACGATTGTCAGGACCAGCCTTGTTTGAATAACGGCACCTGCCATGACCTGGTCAACAATTACACCTGCACATGCAGACAAGGGTACCAGGGATCTAATTGTGAAGATGATGTTGATGAGTGCATGACATCTCCTTGTTCCAATAATGCCTCGTGCAGCAATTATCCAGGAGGATATAACTGTCAATGCAGACCAGGGTTTACTGGAAAGTTGTGCGAAACAGACGTGGACGAATGTGAGTTATCACCGTGTATAAATGGAGCAACTTGTAGTGATGGAATAAACAACTACACCTGCCTCTGTGCAACAGGTAAGAGTAAGTGAGTAATATAATATAACGATGTAGTGTAATATTAACAACGTGTATTATATCGCAGGCTACCAAGGAAACGATTGCGAAGCGAATATCAATGACTGTGCATCTGATCCTTGTCAGAACGAAGGCAAGTGTGTGGATGGAGTTGGAACATACCACTGCATCTGCCCTGCAGGATTTAGTGGAACCAACTGCCAGCATAATATTGATGAATGTGCCAATGTAGACTGTAAGAACAATGCAACATGTATTGACCACATCAATGGGTTTGATTGCGTATGCCGGAACGGTTTCACAGGAAAAAAATGCGAGGTGAACATTGACGAATGCGCTTCCAATCCTTGCAGGAACCAAGCTAGGTTTGTATTTATTTACTTTAAAGTTGAATTTTGTTATTGAAATTGGTTCCAAATAACTTTCCCAAGACAATCTGCATTATTCAAAAGTGTCGTTATCAGTCAATCTACCATATATCAGATAAAAAAATTAAATAAATAAATAATGATTTGGAGGTATCACATCCACCAAGTGGTTCTTCGTCTACCTGATTCCTGGTCGAATTGGAATTTGGAAGTGTTGGTTTTTTATTAGTTTTTATCGAAAAATAAAAGACACATTTCTTGCTTCCAGTATTCCAAGAAGTCCCGAAGAGAAGTATATCTTACCTCATTACTACATCTGATTTAACGGTCTCCAGAGGCAGTAAATTAACTAGTAAATTAAGTAAAGAAAGAAAGTCGAGAAAAGGAGAAAAAACGCAGAATTTTCAAAGAACGCTACCAAACTATAAAGCTAAGGCGCTGTTACTTCCATCTCGTTAGGTGTGTGGATATGATTAACACTTATCGGTGTGAATGCAAAGATGGTTTCGATGGCCTCCACTGCGAAAACAACATTGATGAATGCGCCTCAAATCCTTGTTCAAACAAAGGTACATGTCACGATGGCATCAATAATTTCACCTGCGTTTGCCCACCGGGGTACACAGGAAATACCTGTAGTTTAGACATCGACTACTGCTCATCAACGCCGTGTTTGAATAATGCCTCTTGCTTTGATGGACTCTCTTCCTTTACTTGTCAGTGCCGTGATGGATTCAATGGAGACCAATGTCAGTACAACATCGACGAATGCGAGAATGCAACTTGTTTAAATGGCGGAACTTGTATCGACGGCATTGATCAATACAAATGCGCCTGCCAAGCGGGATTTACCGGATTCAACTGTGAATTAAATATTGATGACTGCGCGCATAATCCGTGCTTAAACGATGGGACTTGTATGGATTTGATAAATGACTTTAATTGTGCCTGTAGGAGAGGTTATACAGGGAAGAACTGTAGCGTCGACATTAACGAATGCTTCAGTTCTCCTTGTCAGAACAATGGAACATGCAATGATAAAGTCGACGGCTACACTTGCAGTTGCGTTGATGCCTTCAGTGGAATACACTGCGAAAGGAATATTGATGACTGTTTAGGTCACGGTTGCGCTAACGGTTCCACCTGTAGGGATGAGGTTAACAGCTACACTTGTGACTGTCCTCCTGGGTTCTGGGGAAGGTTATGTGAATCTGAAGTAGACGAGTGCGAGTCCTTTCCTTGTAATAATGGTGGAACTTGTAACGATCAGGTACCGTGCAATGCCAGTACTTCTTCCAATAATGCCCAGTACAATACACTGTTAAGTGTTGAAAAACGTTTCTCCCGCATCATTAACTTGCAGCCGTTAAAGTAAACGCCCCAATAAAGTTAAACTGTTATGTGATACGGCCAGAAGATAACTAGGAATTCAAATGACTGAAGACCAAAATGACTTCTGATCATGAAAGTTTGATGGATGGCAAGAATTTAAAGTTCCTCTTTATAGATCTGACATTGTCTTATTAGACACCTCTCTTTCAGGGGTTGGAGACACACTTACTAGCAAGCGGTTTCCATTAGCGAGAACCTCTAAGCTATAGAGTTTGTTATAATGCATAACAAAGCCTCTAAGTATAACGGCA